CCCACCTGAAACTCCGACTGAAGCAACTCGAAAATTAACGGAAGAACCTCTGCAGAATGCAAAGTAACCAAAGAACAAAGACATGCGGCAGAGAAAATAATTAAAGAATTTGAATATCTATTTTCTAGAACATCCAGCGATGTTAGCCGCACAAAGCTGACGCAAAATCGAATTGATACGAGGGATCACTCTCCGATTAAGCATCATCCCAGGCGTCTGCCATTCGCAAAACAAGAAGAGGTTGAAACTTTTGTGAAAATGATGCAAGAAAATGTCATCATTGAACCATCCTCAAGTCCATAGGGATCTCCTATAGTTCTCGTCTGGAAGAAATACGACTCGACAAGATTTTGTTTCGACTACGAGACTGAATAATGTCACTAAGAAAGACAGTTACTCACTTCCTAGGATTGACGATACTCTAGACACCTTATCACAAGTAGACACAAGACGCAAGTGGTTTTCCATTCTGATCCTCAAGAGCGGATAATAGCAAGTGGAAATTCACCCCGATGATAAAGAGGAAACTGCTCTCATTATCGGCCAAGGACTCTGGCAGCTTAAAGTTATGCCATTTAGACTATGTAAGACATTTGAACCTTCAACATTTGAACGCCTGATGGAGATAATGCTTCGTGGCCTATATCTTACGAATCATGAATCATGTCTGGTCTACCTAGATGACATCATTATAGTGGGCCGTAGTTTCGAGGAACATCTAGAAAATGCCAAGAAGGTGTTGCAGAAGTTAAAAGATGCCAACCTCAAGCTGAGTACTTAGAAATTCAAGTTGTTCCTCAGTGAAGTCACCTATCTGGGCCATATCATCTCCGCCGAAGATGTCCGCACAGATTCAGAGAAGGTGTCGGCAATTAAGGATTGAGAATACCCTGTGAATATTCATCAACTACAGAGCTTCCTGGGACTCTGTACCTATTACAGAAGATTCATGAAGGAGTTCTCCAACACCGCAAGGCCTCTGCATAAATTATGAGAGAGTACGCATAAATTATCAGAGAGTAAACAAAAATTCATATGGACTGAGGAGTGCGAAAAATCCTTTAATCAGTGGAAGGTGGCATTAACATCTACGCCCGTGCTCGCATATCCCCAGACCGACAAACAATTTATATTAGACACGGATGCGAGCAACAAAAGTGCGGGAGCTTTCCTTTCCCAAATGATTGACGGTCAAGAGAGAGAAATAGCCTATTGGATTAAGTTCTTGTCCAAGCCAAAAAGGAATTATTGCGTCACCCGTAAAGAATTGCTCGCTATCTTAAAGGCCATAGAACATTTCCATAATTATCTCTACGGCAGAAAATTCTTATTTCGGACAGATCGTGTTTCCCTAATCTGGCTATTCAATTTCAAAAATCCTGAAGAACAAATAGCCAGATGGATTCAAAGACTCCAGGAATATGACTCTGAGATAAATCATCGTAAAGGCTCTTCCCATGGAAATTCGGATGCTTTATCCAGGAAGCCTTATCCTGCAAGCTTCAGGCATTGTGTAAGAGCCGACCTTGACCCTTGAATAATGTTGGAGAAGAAGCCAATAATAGAGCTGAAGGAATTATCCAGTTTAAAACCCAAGTGGCTGGACATTTCAGTATTCAGTCCTACAACTAAAAGCTACTGGGCTCTCTGGGATTCACTCCACTTCTGAAATGTCGTCTTATATCAACTATGAATGCGACGATGGAACTAATAAGAGACGGCAGTTTCTGCTTCCTCGAAACCGAATACCTAAGGTTCTGAAGGAAATACACAGCAGCCCAACAGGAGGGCATTTCAGCTCTATGAAGACACTAAACAAGGTTCGAGACTGCTTCTTCTGGAGTTCGACGAAAATCGACGTTGAGAAGTGGTGGCGATCTTATGATGCTTGCGGAGCCAAGAAAGGGCCGAAGGGACGTAATCGGGGAAGGTTGCAGCGATACAATGCAGGAGCGCCTTTCGAGTGGATTGTCCTCGACATACTTGGACCTTTCCCACGGACCACGGATAGCAACAAATACATCCTCGCTGTGATGGATTCTTTTACAAAGTGGCCCGAAGCGTACACAATTCCTGACCTACTAACGTACTCTTGCTATACTTACTAACGTTCTCTTGCTATATACTATATACTATTATTAACGAGTCATGAAAGTGAAAATGAACAGGAACTGTAAAGATTCTGAATAAATAAAATAATAGTACTAAATAAAATATAAATAATATAATAAAATAAAATTTTCTAAACTTTAACACTAGTACGAAATCCTACAAATATAATATTTCTCTTTGGTATCAAAAAAGATATTTTAAAACGTATAAACTCTTTCAAACTAACATTTATTCATGCCATATCTTAGTCCCTCCAGCGGCAGAGTAAGACGGCTGAATAACTGGGACTCTGGATAACTGGGTAAATCAGTATCATTTGAATAAAAGTCTGATGTTTACACCACATGACTTCCTTGTATCGAATATTAAATTATACGCAGTTTTTCCTGCATTTCATTTAAACTTATGTCCTCGAATTTCATTAGAGGTATGTTCTTCATTCTATTACTTCAGTTCTTACATCGTGACAAGGCAAAACTATACATAAAACCTCAAAATATCTTTATTAAAAATTGAAAAATATAGTAAAACTATAAACACCAAATACAGTTAAAACAATTTTAAAACTTTTGCAATTCAAATTAGACTTTCTACGCAAAAACAATCACTTCGGCCAGCGGGCAAGGCAGATTTTTCGGTGCACAAAACTGAAAGTTTTCCTTTAGTCCCTCTCGGCAAGAAGATATTGAAGGTGCAGAAACATTTAATTCACAACTCTGTTAAGCAAATGTGACTGCTATAGCAAAAAATTAGGCTTTGCCGCACTTAAACAACTTTTAAATTGATAATTCTACAACTATTGCACGCAGATTAACTAAAGGCATAAAACCTTTAACCGGAAAATAAGAACAACATAATTCAATCATTTTTAAACCAAAAAATACGCAATTTACCAACATTTAAGAATTAAAAACTGAACTCACTGAGCCGAGTAACGAAGTGGTTATATATACATACATATATATCTATATATATACTTTTGGTGCGGCCAATTGCAACCAAACAGAGAGGTGCAGAACTAGATGCTATAGCAGTCCTATATACAAAACTTCAACGTTCTGAGGCTACTTATTTTTAAGTCATGCGACATACATGCATACGTACGTTACATATAGACGTCACGATTGAAACCTGTTTTGAATCGATTTTAAATCTACGAGTATTTTAAAATCCTTTTTGGTAAAAACAGTCCTTTATTCTGTCCGTACGTACAAATGTCACGCAAAACGATCGTTATTCGAATTGCATTCGATAGCAGTCAAAATGGATATTTTCGTTGAAATATGACACCCGATAATTTTCGCGATTACAATATTTCCTTTGCTTAATATACAAGGAATTAAAAATAAATGATCAAAGCTTCGCTTTATAGGAAAGTAATAAATCAGATGGATGATTTTGCTGTGTAGGTTTCATCGTATTAAGAAGTATCATGTATTCTGCAAAGTAAAAAATTATCGTTTCTCTTTATTTGATGCAGACAATAATGTGCAAACAAGAGAATTAGAAAAAAATCCCTTGCGAAGATGTATAACGCATAGCTTCAGAAAGTTCTATTAATAATTACACTAATTGTAATCTATATATGTAAACAAGAAAGTATGTTTGTTTGTTTTCTAATAACTCAGTCACTACTATAGCTGTTGCCACCAAAATTTCTACAACTCTTTTCTGGGTCCTGAAAAAAGTCGACGTCCGCTTTTTTCCAAAAAAAAAGTACCTAAAATCGGAGATATTAATTAAAAACTCGGAAAAACGATCATTTTCTCCCTCATTTTCCAAGTGGCAACAGTCTCGCAAGCTGGAGACGATAATCTGCTTTATTTCCAAAGTTGTTACCACTGCTCGCTTTCATATCCTAGAGTTTGTAAATAAAAAATTTCTAAGTTTTACGATGAAATAAAAATAGCATTGCCAAACATTAAATACATTATTCCCGATTCCGAAAATTCGTGGGAAGCCATTTCGGCTATTCCCGTTCGTAAGACTTTAATCAGCTGAAATATTAATTAAAAACTCTGAAAGCGCTAATTTTCGCTCTCATTTTTCCGAGTGGCAACAGTGTCGCGCGTTGGAGATAAAAATGCTTTATTTCGAAAAGTGTTGCTACTGTTCGCTTTTAAATTGTAGAGTTTGTTAATAAAAAATTGGTAAGTTTTGTACAAAATTTATACACATAATGAATAATGTCTGTTTGTGTGTTTGTTTGTTCGTTTTATTTATTTCTGATTAATTATGATAGTTTTTTGCCACATTTAATCGACTTAGGTGAAATATTGGATGGAACTTGAGCCAGTACGACCATTTGATTAGAAAGACGAAAATCATTAAAACTGAGTGCCATTGTTGCTGATATAATGAGAAAGAATTAACTTATTTTTCTATCGAAATTTTTTATGTGGGTTCTATATCGCATCAGACTGAAAAATTTATGACTATGAATCGTATTTTTTGCATCATTATAGAGAAGGATTACAGTGGTATCGTTCTCTCTGTTGTAAGATGCATTACTCTCGGTCTAACTTAACTGGCATCGAGTACTACCGCTAGTGTCTAAACTTAGAAACAATATTTAAAAGTACATATTTTTTTTTTTCAAATGACTTTCTTTGTTTACATTAGTGGAAAGAGAAATTGAATCTTTGCTTTTTGTTTTCAATGTATGATCGATATGAAAACAATAAGGTACATGAAAGAGTTTTTATGTTGTTTAAAAATATACTATGTGTCACCCCTTTTTAACGATGTACAATTTTTTAATTATAATTCATTTCATAACTTACTGTGAAGATGAACTGCTATCTTAATTCAAAAAATAAAAGTTAATTTTGCAAGATTTCTGTATTTGGATTTCATCTCGCATCGAAAGTATTTATTATATTTTTCAGAAATTCCATAAGGAGAGACCCACCTATAAGAATGCGTTCTTGGATTCATATTATCAAGCAGTTCCATAGTATAATAGCACGACATCTGTGGTCACATTTGTGAAGGAAATGATTCCTGATTTAATTCGAAGCAAGAAAGTTTAAAATTGATACGATGCTCATTATTCTAGCATTTTTATATTTTCAAGTAAGTATATTTAGAAGAGACTCATTATAACTGCTTAGTATTTAATCTGTGAATTTTAAAATCAAGTCGTAGAATAAAAATTGATGCATCTTAAAAGAACTGTTTTTCATTATGTATTTAAAAGTAGATTATAAGGTATTTCTCCCGCCTTCGCGGTGTAGTGGTTCTGCACGCTGAGCCAGAATTTTAGAAGTCCGTGGTTCGATTCACGGCGAAGGCAATTGCTCATTTTTCATCTTGCCTTCTTCCTAAAAATAACCTAATTATTTCTACATTAGCGCCCGAACTAAAAGGGTTTTGGATGAGGATTCTCCGCACCCAGGATTTGGCGATTGGGTCCCCTAAAAACTCCAGTCGCCCCTTAAAAATGGGAGTATTAAGGCATTTCTCCCCCTTTCCTAGCGTGCCTTCGTGGTGTAGTGGTCAGCACACTGGTCCGGTATTCCAGAGGCCCGTGGTTCGATTCCTGGCGAAGGCGTTGCTAATTTTTCATCTCTCTGGCTTCGAAAAACTATCCTAATGTCTCTACAGTGGTGCCTGAACTAAAACGTGTTGAATGATGATTCTCCTCGCCCTGGATTTTTCGATTGGGTCCCCTAAAAATCCCAGTCGCCCTTTAAAAGGGGGAGTACACTGGTGTGCAAAAATTAAGGACGAAGTCGAAAAATTAGCATATCAGCTGAACGAAGAGGCAGAGCAGACAGAAAAACCAGTCAGGAGATTAAGTAAGGTGATGTACGGTAGCACATACGCAGATATGCAGGTAGACGTAATGGGGGGTGTCTGAGCATGTTGTCGCTGTAAGATCAGTATTTCTGGCAAAGAGATTGCACGTCGTATAGCAGTTAAAATCACACCGAGTTGCTGCCTCAGCGAGAAATGGCGAATAATCAATCTGTTAGATGACATCTGGATGCTTTTACCCGATGTCGAATCATTGGGAAGTTGGAGGAAGGCCGCAGTGTGACAAGTGTGGCTGCCGAGTTCGGAATTGCTCACAGGATCGTTCCACGACTTTGGAGACAATTTCAAACTACAGGAACAGCTATCCGGGGTTTAGCAGTGGTTGTCCACGAGGAACCACACCCGCAGATGACCGGTATATTGCCTTACAGGCCAGAAGAAACAGGCGGCAGACAGCGGGAGAAATCGCTAGACACACGACACAGGCGACTGGACGACCGATATCGCGTTTTACCGTGGCCAGAAGACTGCACGGTGGTGGTCTGTTTGCACGACGCCCTGTACGGTGCGTACTTCTCACGCCTGCCCATCGGAGAAGGCGTTCTCTGCGGTGCCGGGAACACCGGAATTGGAGAGACAATGAATGGGGACGAGTACTCTTTACAGATGAGAGCAGATTCAGTCTGAGTAGCGATTCTCATCGCATACTCATCTGGAGAGAGCGGGGAAGCCGCAATCATCCCTCGAACATCATTGAAAGGGACAGGTATGGAGGTGGCGGTGTTCTCGTTTAGGGAGGCATCATGCTTGGTAGTCGTACAGACCTTCACATCTTCGATGCAGGTTCAGTCAACGGGACCCGTTATTGTAGCGAGATTCTTCTTCCATATGTGCGTCTTTTTAGAGGCGCTATGGGTCCGCAGTTCCTTTTCATGGACGACAATGCACCATGTCATCGCACAGTAGCTGCCGAACAGCTCTTAGAGAGTGAGGATATTGAACGTATGGATTGGCCGGCACGATCTCCGGATCTCAATCCCATCGAGCATGTATGGGATTTTCTAGGCAGACGCTTGGCAGCTCGTACCTTACCACCAGTAACGATTCCGGAGCTTCAATTGCGCTGCAAGACGAATGGGCAGCAATACCTCAACAACTCATTGACACCCTCATTCTCAGCATGGGCAGACTCTGTGAAACCTGCCTAGCAGTCAGGGGAGATCATATCCCCTATTAAAGAACGGATATTTCTTGCTGGACACCCATCACAGGGATGTTTCGGCCTTCAGTCGCATTGCGCTCCATGCTACTTTTTCAATAAAGCTTCTTTTTATCCCTCTGATTTCTCTTTTAGTAAGTGTTGCTTACATTACTCATGTCCTTATGTATTGGGGATCTTACGGTATTAAATGTGTTGATTTGGAAAGCTTTTGTACAAAGTTACATTGAAAAAACCGTCTCGTCCTTAATTTTTGCACACCAGTGTACATAAGGTATTTCTCCCGCCTTCCTAGCGTGCCTTCGTGGTGTAATGGTTCTGCATGCTGGGCTGGTATCCAGAGGTCTGTGGTTCTATTCCCGGAGAAGGCGTTTGCTAATTTTTCATCTCTCTCGCTTCCAAAAATTGCCTAATGTCTCTACAAGATATTCCAAAATGGTAGTAAGTTTTTAACATATTCACTTTTGAGAGCAAGCATTTCCCCTTGTAGCCACGCGTGTATTTGAAGTTTGGGATACATAATTTTTTCTGAGCTACCATACACTTTTTTACCTAGACTGCTACTGCTAATAATTTTGAATCCTTTTTACCATTCCAATCTATTTTTAGAATTATGTCGGTTTTTCTGTGTGTCTTTCTGTGTGTGAAGGATTTTTCATTCACGATATCTCATATTAAACTTCCAAAAATCCACATTTAAGCTTGTGTAGGGTTCCTCACTCTTTTTGTCTAAGATGAACGCCGGGGAACCTAGTTAACCGTTTAGCGACTTATCGCTGAGTTCAAACAACTGAAACGTAGACCCCAGAAGGGTTAAAATACCCTTTATTTTACTCAAATAAGAATAACAGTTGGCCCCTTTCTCGGGCTTACAACAAAGCCTCCACTCGTGCTTTAACTCAGAATAAGAAATAAGAAACTAAGCTGTAACTAACTAAAGAAGACTTAGCCAAAGCTAAACATAAGTATCTAATGCAATCGCCCTTAATTTTAGACTAGCCGGCAAATATCAAAGGCACGTAAAAATACGGCCAAGGGTAACAGTTTCAAGAGAGACTTAGCCCGAAGGCAAGCCGCGCAACTTAAGGATTCCTAGCACCTCACGAAGTAAGTTGAAACTTAAATACTTCTTCTAACTCATTTGCATTCAACGCGATTCTAAAAACTTATTTTGGCAGGGAGTTGTAAGTGGAAACAAGAACTGATATAAAAGAGACTTTAAAATTAAAATAACTGCTATAAAATTAAAATATATCTTACAAGCTTTCTACATTCATAGAATGAGTCAATTAGATTTGGGATAAATTAAACTGTACTGCATGCCCATAAAGGCCTGTTTACAGTAAAGGAGCTTTGAACCCAAAAAGCGCTCTTCACGAAGTAAGTTGAAAGGAAATTATCTGATGTGGACATCATATGTCACATTTTTCCTGCACTTCATTTAAACATATTTCCTCGAATATTAGATATACATTTCTCATTCAATCAATTCAGTTCTCACTTCGTGGCAAGGTAAAAATACATAAAATCTCAAAACATATTCGTTAAAAATTGTAGAATACAGAAAAACCTAAAACACCAAACACACTTTCGCTTACGCTTTTCTCCTGGCCAGACTCTTTGCGGGCTACCTTTGTTCACTGAATATCTGCTGAGCTAATAAAAGTGCAGGGCGCACAAGACGCTCGTCCGTATGTGAACCAAATATCCCGAATTGCTTTCCACAATAATAAAATTAGCTTGAATCCAGCCATGTCTGCCTTGCCAAGTTTCTTCGCTGGGCATCTATTACGCCATCACCAAAGTCCAAATCATTCATGTCATATATATATATATATATTTGATAAGAAAGAGAAAGAGACATAGCAATGTTGTTTGGCGTAGAACGTAGATCCATATTGATAAGGAAGAACACTGATTGCGTAGAGTACTGAAAATGCCAATCCATAATGAATAAGAAATTTGGCAGTAGAGGAACTTTTAATTTCACTTTTATTTTATTCCACATTTATAGCTACAGTTCACTTGGCACTGCAATCGTGCCAATTTTTAGAACATTTACGTTTGTAAATTTTGGTTTGATACATATTTTGGTTTTATATTAACAGCATTAGTTTTTGTCGAAGATTTTCAAGCCAAGGGCTGCAAAATGTTATGGTTATGATTATGATATTCAAGCAGAAATTTATAAGAACTATGAACTTTTACAGTTATTTCTTGAAAAAATCAGGATACATTTTGCAGTATGTTTAAAGAAGAAAGATCTTGCAGACTTTCAAAATTTCAATATTATTTTCAGTTCGCATTTATTGTTAAAAACATTTTGTTATTTTAAAACATTTAGATCAAAATGTTATGATTATTTCTCCCTTTCTTTCTGTTTTAATGCTTATTTCTAAAAAGGCTTTCCCGTCGCCAAACCTTTTTTTTTTTTTTTTTTTTTTTTTTTCTTTTTAAAGGAGGGGATATGCAAGATAAGAAATATGCAAATCAAAATTATAACTTAAAATGCCTCTTAACTGTTCATTTTTAATTTCGGTACTTCCTCTCTAGAAGTAACTTTCTCTGCCTACTTTTGCTGGTCTAAGGACGTCCCTTGCTTAGCTGCTTCTATTAAAATTGTAATGCGTCATCATCAAAATTGTGGAGTGCAGATTGGCCCATTGTGAAGTGTCATGCCATAGGGCGATCAACAAGTAATGATAAGATATTAGATTATCAGGTGATTTTTGTGATTCTTCACATCTTCTACTACGTAATTGATATTTTCAGTGATGATCTAACCTCAATCCACTCGCGCTTGCAAAATAATGTCTTCCTAGTCAAGCACTCATCTCTCATCAAATTACTGAATGGAACTAAAAAATATCATCACATATATATACATATTTATACATGTTTGGTGCTTCCGACTGCGATGAAAAAGGGAGGTGCACAGCTAGATGTTATAGCAGTCCCACATACAAAATTTCAACGTTTTATATATATTCGATTTTGAATTATGCGAGGTAGGTACAGAAGTCATAAAAACTCTCTTCTGAATCCATTTTACAATCCCTTTTGGAAGAAAGAGCCTTTTTTCTGTCCGTTCATACAAATGCCACAAAAATATCGTTCAAATGAATTTGAGAGAGGTCAAAATGGATATTTTTGTTGAAATATGATAACCGAATTTTTTTCGATTAGAATACTTTTTTGCTTCATACAAGGAAGTTAAAAGGGCACTGACTATTTTTACCTCCACCACCTTACACTCGTAGGGAAAATTAACAGAATTTGCTCATTATGTCGAATTTCTGGAAAACTAATGGACAGATTTTAATGAAATTCCGTATGAATATACATTTATAACAAAAAAAGAAATGTACCATCCAAAAGTCATTTTATGTACGCATGAGTATCAGTATATCTCATAGTGCAGAGATGTCCAAAATCCACGTTGTGATATCGAACTAAAATGAGTGTAATATAGAGTATGGTCCCCTCTCACAACCGCGCAGCATGACAGCATACTGGACAGCAAGCAATTGAGTCCCTGTGGAAGTGAATCTCACTCATGTAGCAAGGCAGTTTTAAACTCCGGAATGGTTCTCGGAGAGAAAGGGTTGGTGGGATGAAATTGCCCTCATAAGAACATCCCAGGCATGCTTTTCTTTCGGTGAACATGACATGCTGTGGGTTAAGGTCAAGAGATCTGGCTGGCCAAACCATGTGGTGAATGTCCTCACTTTCCAGGTAATCGCCGACTAGCTGATCCTTATGTGTACGAGCGTTATTGTCCATTAACAGGATCTCAGGATCAGCTGCCTCCCTGAATATAGGTTTGTAAAGGGAGTCAAACATCAGTTCTTCTCTAGACCTCATAGCAGTCAGAGAGCCTTTGTCAAACTCATGCAGGGTTGTACGACTGTCTAACATAATGCCTGCACAAACCATTACACCTGCACCATCGTAATGATCCTTTTGCCTCAAGAAGGAAGGATGGCATCGTGTTCCAGTTCCAGATTCATTCAAGATACAGGTATTCCGAGAATCAGTATCCAAGTTGAATCTCGATTCATCTGTAAAAAGCCCGCTGTTTCACTGAAGTCTAATCCAAGGTGTACGTTGTTTGCACCGTGCTAAACGCGTTCTCTTTTAAGCTGCAGTGAGCAGGACGCAAACAGTGGTGTGTTTTTTTTGGGGGGGAAGGGGGCATTTCTCATGAAGCTTTCGGGCCCTATCTCATGAAGCCTTCGGGCAACTGTAGACAAGTGAAACTCCGGTTTCAATGCTAGTATACAGCTCACGTGAAAGATGTGAAGCTGTTGCAGTCCTGCATCTCCTCGCTAAAAGTGCAAATAACAATTCTCATCCGCCGTTTTGGATCTTGGTCGACTTTCTCCAGGGATTCTCGATATAGATCCAGTGTCCTGAAACTTATTTCAGAAACTGCAGACGACACTGCGCATTACATTAAATTCTCTAGCCAGTGGACTTGTAAATGTGCTGCCTCTAATCTACTGAACATTTTTAAAAATTTTATTCAATCATTCACACGTTCGCGGCTACTTATTTTACCTTCTACAGTACAAAATTCACCCAAGTGATGCGTAACCCATCGTGAATGTCGTGAAAGAGTACGAGCACACAAATCACCGAAAACCCCTCATTCCCTTATATTCCTTCTATAATCATAGCTCCACAGTAATGCACTTATACGCTTGCGTATTTGATTCAATATCTGCATAATTCTTCGGCGGCATAATTATTAACTTTGGTTTAATACTTTTCGTAAAAGTAGACATAAACTGAAAATTATCTTAATTTTGTATCCGAGTGTACATAGGTAAGGAAAGTAGCGTTTTCGATTCAAAAATTCGATAGTGGATTTTCAGTGGATATGCACAATCAAAGTGAAACTAAATCATTCTGAACCGGATTTTCGTCTTAGGAACACATTTCATTTCTGTTCTTTCTTGCTGTGCTGCCAACATGTCGCAGCGTACATTCTAATTCATCATTTGTGTTGTCATAACGATGTAAAAAGGGTAGAAATATCGTCAAGAATGGGCCCATAGATTGCGCTTGTTTAATTCAGGTTTAGCACTGCGTTTCTTAAAAATGAAAAAAGGGTTGAACAGAAATGACTATTAACAGCTTTTATGCAGCAAACTCAGTCTCTCCATAAATCATGTTCCGTGTTGTTATATATAATATTACGGATTTTGTATTTAGATAGCTATTTTTAGTAGAATGATAATTAAAATTGTTTTATATCCTTGTGCATTTCAACACGAGACATATTTTAAGAGAAAGCTACCCCGGGAAAGTAAAAATACAAGAGCACGCGCGTTTAACATTTTGACTACTGTGTTAGCTGTAATCGTAATTCTACTCTTTTGCTTTCCAGAAATCTCGAGAAGCAGAAATTACCAGAACTTTCTCGTGCCCGATTATAAAGCTTTAAAATCCGGAGAGAAAGATCTCAGTTTAGCTTTCGACCGCGTCTTTCATCCATGACTTACTTACGAATTGATTCATCTCAGATTCCTCAGGGAACTGATTTTAATGATCAAATCATTTCTAAAAAACAGGACAAGGTTAAGTACAGGAAAAAAATCTCTAGTGGCAAGCATATTCACGCGAGAATTCTCCAGGGGTCAAATTTAAGACCGCTTTTTTATATTATTTGCACAAGTGACTTTCCTGATTTTAGTGGTGATGCTAATATCCTCCTGGCCTGTTACGCAGACGATATTGGCTCTTGTCGTCAAATCGAGAAGACCAAACCATGCTTTAGCAAAAATGCAGGAGAAAATTCCAAGAAAAATCTAAATAATACAAGATTTCATCAATAGACTGAATGAAAAGTTTTACATTAGAACCATGAGTAGTAAGCCTGCAAATTTTGTGAATGTTCTAGCCTACGAAATTTTACAAGAAGATAAGAAAATCAGACTGTTCGCCGCACATGTTTTGCATTATGACCTCCGTGAGTAGGCCAACCAATCAGAAAGCGGAACCTCACGAACTGACTTTCCTCAATCGTAGATTTCATTTACTCATTTTCTTCTCATTCCAGTAATTCATTCAGTACTTGAACACGCAGATTGTAATTTTGTGATCCAATGTTCCGGATTCGTCACTCTTCCTCACATGACTAGCAAGCTGCTTTCTGGACCTCTCCTTCCCTGGCACTTCAATCAGGCATCTTCTCTAAAAGAAATAAAGTGCTTCACATTCTTTGCTCCATTTATTTCTGTCTTCCCTGGAGAAAACATCGCTGATGTTTTTCACCTCTGCCAGGCCCGTTTGGGACCCATTAAGGAACTATTAAGACCAAGAAAAGAATCTCCTGAGGACCATCACGTTACAAAAGTATTAAAGTATCCAAAAAAATTACAAAAGTACTAAATTTGTAGCCAATTCGCGGTGAGATCGGATCGAATTAGCTTTCTCTGCGCTTTGAATTGCATTTTGTTTAACGTTTTAGTAGTTTAGAATATAACTACTGCGTGATATTGTGATACTGCATGAATATCTTTGAGGAATAATCCAGCATTTTGTTATATTTCTTGTGATAAGAATAAATTTTATTAACTTTTTATCGGACTTGTGCATTCAATCCTTTACGAACCCGTACACACGCAACAATATATACATATATATAATCATGATTTAAAACTGCATATATTCTTATTGAAAGTTGTATGAACTTAAATCCATTTAGTGTGAATACAAGTTATTATTACTTGCGCAATTGCTGCAAAGTTAGTTAATAATAATTTATTTCCTAAACAGTATTGATTAATTGATTATATTATCTCCTAAGTTTAATTAAAGTAGTATTATTTTAAAAGTGTGCATCCATACTGGTAAGTTATATTTTGAAAGATGTTTTGAAGTAATTTGAAAGCAAAATGTTAATAATGTTTTAACGGGGACTGGAGTTAAATCATCACGAAGAATAATATTACAATTGTAAAAGGAAAAATTAAAACATGTAATTATTGTCATTGATCGGAAATTAGTTGACTTTTCAAGGGGAACAAACCAACTCCCGTTCAATGAACAATAATTGATAAAAAATACGTAAATATGAAAGTGTTTCGTCTTTACTCGAGTTATAAGTTAAAGCCAAACCGGCAATTCTAGTTCAGGCCAAATATTTCCGCGAATAGTTGCTACTCAAAGAACTTATTCTCATGAAGCATTTTAGTCAATTCAATTTGGAGAGTAAAAATCAATTACTGTAGAGAAATCCTGTAAAACTCGAGTAATCGTCCCCGACACTATCATCTTTATGTATTTGAGTACTATATTATTTGTAGAAATTAAACATTGGAAATTGTCATTATGAAATCGAAATCAAAGTAAAGTTGAAAATAAACATAGAAGATTATAAAAAAGATAAATAATGCAAACTTTGTAAAAACAAATCAAAGAAAACATAAAAAATATATAAAAATAATATAGAAAATAATATAAATAAGATCAGTGAATGTACATGAAGATATAAAGGCCAGAAAGGTATTAAGTAACTTCCGATCAATGACAATAATTACATGTTTTAATTTTTCCTTTTACAATTGTAATATTATTCTTCGTGATGATTTAACTCCAGTCCCCATTAAAACATTATTAACATTTTGCTTTCAAATTACTTCAAAACATCTTTCAAAATATAACTTACCAGTATGGATGCACACTTTTAAAATAATACTACTTTAATTAAACTTAGGAGATAATATAATCAATTAATCAACACTGTTTAGGAAATAAATTATTATTCTTATTGAAAGTTATATTTCAAAGTAACAGTTTTAATTTGATTAAAAAAATAATTTTACTTAAACCAGAGTTTTTAAAAATGTTTCTAATATTTAACCCTCAATATTCTTTCAGTACGGAGGAACAAATTCAACAATTATCGAACCCACTGTAAATTCGGAAGTAAAATGCAGAAGCGAAAGAAAAATGTACTACAATTTTAATGATTTCAAGATGGATACTTGTGCTAGGTGCTATATGTATATGCCTCCCATTCTTTTCCACATAAAATTTAAGTAAGTATTTACATTCCTTGGAAAGCATACAATTTTTTAAATAATTTTAATGGTTATTGTCCATTAATTATTTCAGTATCAAATGCAATTTATTTCAGATATGATGAAGAGATGAACATTCTTAGGGATCCAAGAAGTAATCTTTCTTACTACGCAGATCCATTTAACGTGAGTCAGGAACTCAGTAATTCTTTCATGGAGGAATATTTTTTCTGGAAATGGAAATCTTGCTGTGTGGCTGCATGGAGATGTTGTATTCATATGACGGAAAAATCACCACCTCCATCTGGTATGTTCACACGACAGTGTCTATAGAAGCTCTTAAAAAGTGTCGTGGAGAATGATTTGCAACCGAGTCTTTGTTTGAAAATATTGTGTTTTATTCTTCATAGTGTTTATGATAAGTTGTATATTTCATCACGTGTTATATTTCATAATTTTTTTTGTCAAAAACGTTTTTTAATTGATCATATGAGATGAGTGTTGGTTTATAATAGTGATGGACATTTCGGATCCTAAAATCCCAAGAATCGTTAAAAAAATTCCGAATTTCAAAACTCGAATCTTCGTGCATTTTTCATCATTCGAATTCTTTGAAATCCTAGCCTACAAAAGTGTTAAAGGTTTTAAATGAGGAAAATTTGGTTTTATTGGCGTTATTAATTTGCAAGGGTCGTTTATTTTTATGTTAATTAACCAGTTGTTTTAAGTTTCGGATCTTTACTACCACTTCTTCCTTCCGTGTTCTCGCCAAAATGCAAATTAAGGTTATGATATCGCGTGTATTAAGGTTATGTTATGTAGAAGTGAAGAGGGCCACCTAATATTTACCCTAAATAAATAGGTATTAGCCCCATGCACTAACTAGAAAACTACAAAAAAACATTCTAACATCATTCCTCGACTCATGATGGAAATTGTGACTCCAGCCAACCCTACAAGTTCTGCCATCGCCGGCGGCATCAACGGCATTCCTACCTTTCAGCGTTAAATTAGCTCAAGTAAAATGGATTACATTATGCGATATACATACTTGTACAGGTGCATGCTTGAAGATGTTATCTATTGTAGTGAGTACAGGCATCAAGTTTCAGAACATTATGTATTGCAGTACTGGACGTATTAAGGTTAGGATTTGTACACTGATGTATTAAGGTTAGGGTTATGTGTTGTAAAAAACGACAGAATGTGTTCTGTTTGTCGAGGTCATGCTACTAAATTGTTAGATCAGATAGATTTGCGGTCTTTGGCCATGCAATTATTGTTGCCGATATTGAACAACCATACTGACTAACCTGAATCAATTTCGCTTTAAACTGATTTTTGTAACCTTCGGTTACTAGTTTACATGAGTTTAAATTTTACCTTTGAACTTACTATTAAGTTAGCTCGCCGTAAGTGTTGGTTGAGCAGCACCAGATGTACTTTCTCTTCGTCTTAAGTAAAAGGATCTTTTTGATCTTTTTAAAACCCCTCTCAAGTTTCAGTTGTTATTTTAGACTTGGCGATAATTCGCTTTAATATCTACTTGGTTTGAGTTTGGTCACTGTTAGATGACTGTACAACATACCAAATGTTATAGATTCTTTAAAAAAAGTTCATTAAAAAATAAATGGGATTGTAAACTTTTCAGTGCACCTGGATTTCTAGCGTCACCTCATGATTACCGAATGCTACATTTGTTTTTAAAAGAAAATCCAAATTACACTTTCGCGGTTTATCAAAGTTAACTTTTGAAGCACTCCACTTTCAAGTAATCTTGTTTCTATTCAAAGGACTTCTCGAGAAATCTAAAAACATCTCCACTGTCACTCTAATGCTTCTAAAATATTGAGAAAATGAACCTTAAGATTTAAGAGTTTTAGTTATGTAAGGTATTTACTTGAAAATAAGACTCCTTTTTTGCTACAATTTTTTTTTTTTTCTAAAATTTGGTAGGCTTTTATAATCAGGTATTTTAATAAAATTGCAAAATGAGACTCAAGTTTAATTATAATATTATATAGTATAATTATGCTGTATAAATACTAAATAACCCACACATGTACTATATAAACTGCATCACTATTATTATATAATTTCCATGCTCGGTTCAGCAGTTTCAGTTTAATTGGGCATCCACTGTACTGCATGCTTTTGAAAAGAAATACATGACAATTACGTGATTAGTTTTACCTAATTTTTCTTTCTATACATAGTAAACTATTGTAGCTAGTTTGGTAGGTAGACTTACATTCTGTTTAGAAACAAATGAATTCTAACAAGAATTATGCTGCCATCAAATATTCATCTATATATTTTTTTTAAATTATACTAAAATTTAAGGGGAGTCTTATTTTTGAGTAAATAGGTTACTATATTTACTAATTGTTTTTTCATATATCTTCTTAATGAATGTAAGTACAATTTTAAAGATTCATTTCTTAATTATTTTCATTAAACGCGGATATCAAATTTTGATTTAATTAAAAATTCTAATAGTAAGTAGAAGTTATTATTATTATTATTATCATCATTAATTGAAGACTTTAAGTCTTAAAGACTCAAGGATTCGAATTATATTAGGATTCTATTAGGATTCGAATTCGATAAATTTAGTATTCCTCCCATGGTATAGAATTTAGTATTCATTTGCGTCTGTGAGTATATTACAATCTTTCTATTTAATGAAAGAATTCAAGTGAATTTTCAGTTGGACAACTTTTAAAGGATTTAAATTTGCATATTTTCGTGATTAATGTATTTTATACTTCTTCCTCAAAATTTTTAGATGATTTATCCTAATATGTACAGATTTATGGGGCTTTCTATATATTCGAAGTAACGCAGAATTTTGAGTCGAAAATTATATGCTGTTCGTGACTGTGTTATGGTATTAAACTATTGAGCAATTAGAACAATATAACATAAGATATTACAAATGTATTATTTACTTCTTAACATCATTTCTGTGTAATTGAATAATCATGTTAATACCTATATTGTAGTAGGTAAACGTGTGGATAGGTGCAACAGCAGAAGACATTTTTATAAACCAATTCTGCATCAGTCACATTAAATAGCACTTCGAGTAATGATCAGAGTAAACATAAACAATAAAGCAATTCTAAATTGCAAAACAATCTAAATTACATTGTTTGCGTTGTGTGACATAAAGTCGGGCAGTAACCCGTTCAAATACTATGGTCCAGTGCATAAAATTAAATTTCAAACAAGGTAAGTAAAATAAAACTAACGTTTATTTATGGTGATAAAGAGAAAGAATACAAGTTACAGTTTACATTGGTGGTGACCGGTCATTTAAATATCTGAAGAAACAAGAGAAAAGGATAACATACCATTCTTTAACATATATAACATTTCACAGTTCCTGGTTGGGATCCATCATACAATTTTGGATTACTTGATACAAGCGAACGGTGACGGTGAACAATTTGGTTTCAGGGAAAACTTGGAAAATTATCTATAAGAAGAGAAATCAAGTTGATAAAATTAAACAAAGGCTATTGTTTCGGAGGCCAGGCTTCCCTCCTATTGCTGCGTCCAACCAGTAGGACACAGGTCTTCCCTCCACAGGCCATCATTGAAAGCGTAATTTGGCAAGAATTATAGATGTAGTACCCTTTCTTCGGTGCAGGTTAATTTTTTGTTGCTTCGTCTACGATGCAGCTGCCCTCCAAGCTGAACGGTAAAGTTGACCATCTTTCTTGTGCTTCGAAGGTCTCATGAAATTTTTTTTCTCCGTCTCTCTCCTCTCGAAAAACACTGCGCAGCCATTTTAATAGCTGGCGCTCTCTTTTAAAAATTTGGCGAAGAAAGTGATCAGCAGGAAGCCAAGCCCAGCAACCCAAACAGAGAAATCTTCACGGGAAGGGGTTTCCCGACTACCAGAAGAGCCAGCAAGCGCAGTTCAACCATTCGGCCTCCAAGGCCACGCCGATGGGTCAACAACTCTCCGCAGACGAAAACAAGGGGGGGGGCACTGGCCTCGAATCGAGGCGCAACTCGACCATGTAGAGCTTCCTATCCAACGATTATTTCCCCCTCCTCACAAAGTCGCTGTAGAAACTTTCCCTGCTAGAGATGTCATAGCAACCGGTGTCCTGTTTAAGTAAAACTTTAGACGGTGTAAACATCCAACACGTCATCCGACATATGTTTGATTGCTTGGGGCGAAAGAATTTCGGGGTGCAGTAATCTTCTAATAAGGGATTCTGAGAAAGAATTCTAAGCCGACGGTTGAGATGAGAAAATTTTCAGAACCAGTGAATAGTTATTCAACACAAACGAATTTGGGACATTAAAAATTAAACTATTGCATAACAATATAACTCATTAAAAATGTCATCACTATATAAATTGTTTCTTCAGGAGCATTTTAGGTATACACACTCATTAACCAGATTGAGTTTCAATTACTATTGATTTACCTTACCACCAGTCAGAAAATATGTATTCGACAACTTTGATAGAAAGAGGGGTAAAAATGTAAGTTACCTTAATTTTAAAAAAAATTAATTAACACACTAAAATTGCAGCAAACAAAACTTTAAAAAAATAATTAAAGTTAAACAACCTTAAGGATCAAAACAAAAGTACAAAACCCAAGTAAACGTAAGTCCCTAAACTCAAATTAAAAACTAAACAACTTCAACTTAAGAAAACTTTTAAAGCAACCAAACCTAAATTTAAAGTTTACAAAAGTTACAGTTTAAACTTACAACCAACTTTAAACAACTAAAGCAAAAGAAAAAAAAAATTAAGATTTTCAATTACAGATCAAAAACTGAAATAGTAAGCAAAACTTAAGCTTGAAAATAATAACAATTAATACATAACAACTGCACGCTTACACCGAAATAATATCCTTCTTAGTTTTTCTTTTCCATCTAAACTGCAAGAAGATTTAGTGCAAGTTTTAAGTGTTAATATACAGAATTTTATCAGTGAATTGATACTTAGTACGGATTTGAAAACGGATAAGTAGAAAAGAACGAAAATGAATGTAAAATGATGAAATAAATAAGAATTGAATGATACTTAATTACTGTAAAATTAGCAATGGTGCTAGTGAATGCAGCATAGATTTCTGAATACCAGAAAAATAAACGTGAAGGAACTTTTGGAAGGTATCTGCGTATGAGTCTTTCTTCATGATTAATCCTCCCATCTATTCTTCTATTTACTCGGATGGACCTTCCTCATGCAGTTTCGTTCTGTGTTTCTCATCAGAGTTTTCATAATGAAGTCGATTATTTTCTTTACTTGTAGCCATTTTGGGTGACATCCTGATTGTACCTTTTCAGGAAGTATCCTCATGATTTCCAATCTAGTGAAAATCGTGTTTCCTCTCATATCGCTCTTTGTTGTTAAGGTTCTTGGTTTTTTTAATACCGTACTTATTGTGCACGAAGTAACTTGAGCAACTAATAGTTTTCTGCGTACAATGTGAAAGGGAGTTACAGTGTAAGCAGTAAAAGTAATTATAGCATAGACACTGAGCCAACGAACCATTAATCCCTTCCAAGGTTGTTTATATGCACAGAAGACAGTTCTTCTGTGCATATAAACAACCTTGGAAGTTCTAAGTTCTTGAACCATTAATTTAATTACTCGAATAAATTATATTTATAAGAAACCAATTCATTTATTCAATACTTGCAAGCCCGCTCGTAAGTACTGATCACCATAAGTAGAGCTGAACATAATCAAGGAACTTTTTCCACTTTATTGTTGTCAATAAAACTAGCAGCACTGAAATGTTGAATGCTATTTATCATTATTTCCATCCTTTAAAAAAAGTTCTAAAATCTCTTTTTTTTTTTTTTTTTTTTTTTTTTTTTTTTTTTTCCCCATTTCCTGCAGAGGGATCGTATTGCCCAAGCACCTGGGATGGCTGGCAATGTTGGCCGGACACACCTGCTGGTATTACAGCCAATCAACCCTGTCAGAGTTACATTTACTTCCAGTCTTCTCCACCAACCTGCCCAAGTACGTATCGTAGAATCTGTATGTCACAACTATCAAAGCACCAGATTGCAGAGTTTTTCAACCGGAATAGGCATGCAAAGAAATATCTTTTAAGACTAAGTAACTTTTATTGTTCTGCAGAATTTTGTAATTATTTTATTGGTTAATTGATTAAGGCATATCATGCGACGAATACCCTTAAATGGTATGATTTCATAGAGGACCTTCTAATAAAATTAATTCTCTTTTATGTTATGCGCAAGAAAACGTGACAACCCCAGGCAGTCAACCTATTCATTGACGACTGATTTCCAGAGATAAACCATCGACTTTCAGTAGTTTCAACCTTCGTATCCAGCCCATCCTCCGTTGGGTGAAGAATTTTATGAAATTCTCCTTATTGCCATACTACTCGGGTTCGCATCCTGGGAATGACCTGACTGTGTGGCTTGTTTCGCGAGTTTCCTTAAATGTAATGTATACAAGAGCCAATTTCCCACAGAAAGACCTCGGTTCACTTAGGCAGATTGCCCCTTGTACGCTTTACCATATTAATTTAAATAAATAAACGAATGACCTGATATTTCAGCTATTATGTGTATATGCAGTTTAAAAATAACTTTTATTCATTATAAAATATGCGACTTTTATGAAACAAAGATTGAATACGGCCTACAGTAAGTTTTATCCAGATGATCTGAATGCTCTGATAGGAGTAGTCAGACTGCATTTTTAAAGCCTGTATGGTATTCAAAACATCCGGTATTTTTCAGTTTAATTAGAATAAAAGAATTCAGTTGGTTTTTCTGTCTTTTTAAACCATTAAATTATTTACATAAAAGTTTCACTAAAATGTATTAAATTATTTGCATAAAATGTTTACTCCAAAATGAGACACTTATACATTTTAAACTATTATAGTCCTTTAAAAGTTTTCACCTTTGTGGCAGTAACACTGAACAGCAAACGTTAATCTATTTTTCCTGAATCCTTGGTTTTAAATATTTTTATAGGATTTGTGGTGCTTAAAATAAAAACTCCAATGAAACTAAAAGATTAATTACAACTCTAAATTGAAAATAAATCCTTTAAACTTTAGCTTCCGGGACAAATTAAATTAACAGCCTAATCATTTGATTATGTGATTAGGGTTTGTCGTCAGGGCTTTAAATGCCCTGGATAATTTAAATGACTTAAAATGAGTCATCGAATACTTCCGTATCTAAGTAACAATTTTGTATTCTGTAAATGCGTAATTAGTACATGAGGGGGGAAAAGAATGCACAATACATTTGTATAATTTAAAAGGAAAAACATGAATGATACTAATATTAGTAACAAAGACAAACCTGTTCACATTCCTTGGTCACAGCTCAAGATTTGGTAAACCCCATTCCCATGGATTTTCAAACTTGAATTAATAAACAATTAGGAGCTACTCACAGTCGTGTTCAATATAATAAAATTAATCATTATTGGTTATTTTTCTTGAAGATACTACTCGGTTACTGTTTTGGGGTAGTGAAGCAAAACCAAAATTGAGAAAGCATTTTTTTTTTTTTTTTTTTTTTTTTTTTTTTTTTTAATCTCTCAAATACCGCCGGATGTCCTTCAAAACATTAGCCTTGACTGTTTAATAATGCCGTAGCTGAAAGAATTCGTCTATTCGCCCTTACATGATCACTTAGAAGCTTGAAATATAATGTATTTGAATCTTCTCCTTACTACAGCTGAAAGGATAGGTTTTTGAGAAAGAAATCCCCATCAAAAGAAAATTTTACATCTAACAATATTCATGTGAAGTATATTTCACAAAATTCAGCGTAGACGGTACTTTTGTTAGGAATTTAAAATTGGTTTTGTAGTTAAAAACAGGTGGAAATTTTCATTTAATTTTTGTAAGAAAAATATATAATTACTGCTATTTCTACAGGTCGTATGTCAAAATACATACATTTTAAATTCAAAGTGCAATTAAATAGATTATAATCATATCTAATCGCCTTCCAAGCATCGCACTTTTCTCCAATTATCAAACCTGTCTGACGTGCGGACTCCAATTATCAAACCTGTCTGAGACCGAAGCTTAAGACTGCTAACTGAAAAGCCTATGAATAAAAAATAATAAAAAAAAAAGCATTGAATATAGCACACATAAACTGAGATTCTAATAAAAAAATCTATGTATATATGTAGCACATAAATGTTATCAAATATTCATGTGTTATCAAAAAATCACCTCATTAGTACCAACCTCTGAATGATGGTAGTTTGACCTGCATTCAAATTCCAGTAAATGGCCTGGCCGGTTGCACGTTTTCATGGTTTTCTTACCTGTAACTTCAGTACAAGCCAGCTTTCCTTAGAAAATCATCCATAAAGACATCTCTTTACTTAGGCAGCCCTTTACTTAGCCTTAGTGTGCTTTACAAGAATATAAAAAATTTATTTCGTTTGAAAGTAAATGAAGCGTAGGCAGCACTTGTAAATAGAAAAATTGGTTATCTGAAAAGCGTAAAATGTGGTAAAAGCAATAAAAATCTAAAAGAATTAAATTTAAAGACATGACATTGCTTTGACTGATTAATTAAGAGTAAAAATAATATTATTGAATAAAACGTGTTTCAAATAATGATTTTTTTTTTTTTTTTTTTTTTTTTTTTTTTTTTTTTTTTTTTGCTAAAGGATTAGCGTAGCTGAAACATGCATGTGTAATTATTTCTCTATTTAATAAATTGATAATTATGAATAACTGAAAATATTTGATTTATATGTGTGATATTTCAAAAGAAATAAAATTTTAAAAAAACATCCAACAGTTTGAAAATAAATGTGTATTATTTTAATTTAACTAATTTTATTTATAATCTTTATAAAAAATGCAATATAAAATACTATGATCCTGCAACTAATCAAAATCGCAATTAGTAAAAATTTGAAAATATATAATTTGCGAAAAGATCATTAGATCCACTTTAAAGAAAAACGCAGTATGTCTGAGCTACTCAGATACTATTATTTAAATACTGTTATTTGTCTATGTAATTATGTGTAATTTATTACGGAAAATTTTTCCAGTGTCTTCTTGTGCTTGGGAGTATATTCATACATTTCCTTTCCCCTCTAAACCCTCTAACAAGCCGCTGACCACTGAACACTGGTAGTTCGACCAGGGTTCAAAGCGAACGAACTAACTGCATGAGAGTTTTCATAGTTTTTGATAAGTTTAATGTAAATATGAGTCAATGTCCCTTAAAAAGGCTTTCACGAAGACGTCTTCCCCAGACAACGTACCCACGTGTGCTTTCTTATAATCTAATCTATACCTTTCCAATAGAAATTATTCCTTTTTGTTTAGTTCAGGCATCTTGTATAAAAACCGCAAATCTATAACGATCTTTAACATGCTGCTATATTTCATGCATGTTTGCTAAATATACTTTTAATTTGGTAGAGCTGTAAAAAGGATTATGTAATTTTAAATTGTCTCTTGCAGTTGACACTTATAGATAAATGCGTGTATTTTTTAGAAAAAGTTTAGTTTTTAGATTGCCACATAGCACTGCCACTTTTAACTCGATATCCCATGTTCAAAGAAATGAAGCATAACGAGGAATATTCAGATACAAAGAAGAATTAACAGCTTGACTTTATTTATTGAGTACATTGAAACGAGTTTCATTCTGTTTTTGTATTGTTACGAAATGACCAGCTGCTGTAAGATAGCTTGCCCGCAAAGCAGGTTAGGGTTGCCAGAAAGTCGCAAGAAAGGCAAGGTTACCAGATTTGGCGCGAAATCGCCCAGTTGGTGACAAAATTGGCGATATGCTACAGACGGAGCGAGAACATTCTAGAACGAATTCTTTCCGGTTTTCCCCGGAATGTTCTCGAAGACAAGTTAAAAGCTATAAATAGCTTGCTTGTACGCGGAGTAGCAGTTTATCGTGAAGAGTATCTTGAGTGTGTTGAGTTTCAGTAGTAGTGCTTTGAGTTCAGAATAGCTCAAGAGCGATCGACCGAGTCGAAAGCTGTACTTTGCCGTGAAGCTGTCTTCACCCGTTATAGCCTGAAGGCTGTGTTGCTGATTGTTTCAGAGTGTTTATCGTAGTTTTTCGACAATTGAAAACGCGTATTTGTAAGTCCGTAGGTAAAAGGATCCACTGTGTAATATTGACGAATAAATTGTGTGAGTTATTACCCCTGTATCCCATTCCATATTTTGGAAACTCTGCAGTATATATTATGTATTGCTAATATCCTTTATTTTTGTTTCAGAATATGCATATAAGAAATGTTTGACAAATGGAACGTGGTATAAGAGATTCAATCTGTACGAATGGACAAATTACTTAAAATGTGGCAGACGAGATGTAAGTTCTTTTAGCTTGATTTCGTTCCTCATTTTGGAAGTATTGATGTATCACTTTTTCGCTTAATATATAGGTGTTTTAAAAAGATTACATGACTAAATATATCTTGGCCAAATGAATGTAGACTTATGGTTAAACTTTAAAAAAATCAACTAAAGACTATGATAATATTTGGTAGCACTAGTTTTTTTTTAATAAAACATGAAATTTAACTTTTGTTTCTTACAATACTGAATATCTTTACAAAAAAGAGTTCTGCAATATGCAAAATTGTTCCTGTTGTTGTCAAAAATGTTGTCAAAACTATATGACGTAAGCCAATTCACATAAAATAAAGAGAGCAGAAATAAGAACTTTTATGGGTTGTTGTAAATTAAAATGGTCTCTCAAATTTAAAGGTAAGGATATCAGGGATTATTTTATTGCAAAAGACTGAACTAGATTATTTGATTGGCAAAGAACTCTATGACTGCACCCCTAAAGCGGCGTTTCTAACCTTTTTGACTCGTTGGAATCCTTTTTAGAATTAATTTCTATACGTAACCCACAGCTTACCCTATATCTTACAAGTTAATGATGTTTAGCACTACAGCACTACTTGTGCTGTTGGGGGAGGGGAAGAAGATGCGATAGACTAAAGAGATATCTAAAAACCGTTTTATTTCGTTTCCCACAAGTGATAACAATACTGCATTAAAATTGTTTCCTTTCTCCCAACTTCATGGGTCATTTTGGACAGCGATCAGTTATTAAGCAGATCATTGCCCAGATCAGTTGCAGTGTGGTCGATTGTAAATGTGAATGCCTAAGTTACAACATGCACCTGCATACTCAGAGCCATCTTAGTAATGAATATAAACGACTCTAATATGAAAAGAAAAAAATGAAGTTTTAAATTTAATACACTATTCACCATTTATTTCTGTCTACCGTATAGGGTAACACACTACGTTTCTTCTAAGTTGCGACCATGTTTCTGCTTCAAATTGTAATAGACAGGTTTTTAGATTGTAGCAGGGTGTTTTATTCGGGGTTCTACAGAAGCTCAGTACTTCGCGAAAAATAGGAATGAACAAATTAATCATATTTAATGATTGTTAATCGCGCGTTGTTTTTACGTACTTACTGACATACCACACAAACGTTATGTTGTACGTTATGGACCATTGACGCATTAATATTATTTTAAAGATCCCAGAAAGGTATAAAATGTTGAAAACCACTGGATTAATCGGTAGGTAACAAGGTTACATTCAATTTATTTTTCATCTTGTTTTCTAAGGATGCTTACTTTTCTCTTTTTAACACGACTTTACATTGCACGCTGAAATCTAAAGATGATTCATCGGAGTATACATTTAAAGATGTTTACATTACGTTGCTTATCATTATGCAGTCTTCCAAGTATAGATAAGAAATGCTGCATCTTTTTACCATTCGCTTGTTTTATTTGAGGTTTTGATATTATGTGACTAGAATTATGTAATGAATGATAATATCTTACGAGGTGCTCTAGGGTACTTTATCAAACGTATACAGTCATTTGCGTTATAGCGTGTTACAGAATTTACTAAAGTTAGAATAACATAATTACATTATTTTAATTAAATTAAAATAAGTTATCGAATTGTAACATAATTATAATTGTAATAATTACACATTATTTTGCATCAGTCACCAAGTAATATTGCACCGGACTTCAGCGTTGGCAGGAAACCATGTGAATATCTTTTTTCTAATCACCAGACATACGAAAGGGAGTTTGGTTTTCATATTCCGTTCTGTTTATCTTTATTCTGTTCATTTTATTTATCCTCCACAATCTTAGTTGAGTATTATCATTAATATTGCATTTGACGTTCTAGGTCAGTTTTTCTGTTAAAAAGTAATCTAAAATTAAGATTTTATCTTTTCAGATTGTATTAAATGTACTCGAAATTTAATCTTTTCTTTTGGAGAAATTCTGACCAAACAGAAATATATTATAGTAAAAAGCCGAATAATTTCGAACTGTTGGAAACTACCTCATGTCGGATATGCTGAAATTCAGATAACTGTGAGACGGCACATTTCAGGCATTCTCAAGGGGACCTCTGGAAAATATGATTTTTTATTTCTTCTGATGGCAAGACAGCAAAGAGTGGACGAGGTTTTTCTGAGCATGCTTATCCACGCTGATCTTCGTTTGACCAGAATCTTCCAGCTCGTTATTTTAGTAATATTAGAGTCACTATTGTTACAGTCTAATATAGTGGAGCCTGAGCTTTAACCTAACTTGTTTTTCTATTTAGTTCTGATCAATAAGTTTCTAAAGAGAATCATGTTTTTAAAATGAGTAATAATTATCTAAAACTGAAGGCTCAATGAATTATATTTTTTAATTATAGAGGTTAATTAATTTTAATTATAGAGGTTTGTACTTTTATAAATTCAAGCAGAAATAAAGTCGAAATACTTCCTTCGTTTTTCTTTGCCCTTGATTTTTAAGAAACTCATTCCTTCTAGTTACCCAGTTTTTATTTATATGTTGCGTTCGAGATATAACATTATAGTATCGCATGCAAAACGGTCTTATTATTTAATATAGTATTTTTTGGTAGCCATGAGTTATATTAATCTCTAAACCATATATTCCCAAAGTGGTTTGTTTATATGAACCCCTAGACTCCGATCTGGAAGAGATTCCATGTCACCGCCAAAAAAATTTGGGGGCTGCAATGAAATGTAAATAGAGGTTCACAAGACTATATCCCATTTAAGCAGGTTATCTCCCCAAATTAGGCGTTCCGTAAATCCCATTATTGCACCTAACACAGGTTTCGCTGTACTTATTTCATACATAATAATTTCTTACATAGTAGACATATAAATTAAATAATTTTATATATATATTAATTAAGTACATTTCATAAACTTGTGCAAGTAGTTACTTATTCGCTTTATGATCACAGTACTTGTAAAAACTTGCAGACTTGATACCAGCAGCAACGCATTGTGCACATACGCGCAGTAACAAAGCATATCCATATATGTACCAGGAACGGACGGCGCAGACTTTGTCCACTTGTTCTTACATGAACTTTAAATGTTTGCAAGGAATTTAGTGTGTTTAATTCATCATTTATAAGTACGAGTGGCAGAGATAAAAGCTGCGTTTGGTTTCTGAATTTTGAGAAGAAAATTAGTAAGCAAATATTTTCAAAAATAAAAATTGGTAGTAAAGTACATACAAATTAATGCGAATCAAAATCCTCTTCTTTTTAGCTTTTAGAAAATTAAGTAATTTGTTAATATAACATTTTTTTTGGTAGTTCCTTCGATTGCATAAAGACGCCAATGTTTACAGTCCTGCGTACTTTCTAAAATTTAAAGCTGATGCGTCTAAAAACAACAAAAAATGGAATTCTGCAAATTGCTTATATTCTACGGTGAATAAAGCATCCTTCCTTATATTTTGCAGTGCAATAGTTTGCATTTTAACGAATATAACCCAATTTCAGATCAAGAAAGCATCGTACTTTATGCTTTCGAGCGGATTAAAACATTCTGTGGTGGATTTAAAGTGGGAATTTTAAATTTTTAACACTTTTATAATAGGCAAATTTGGCCGAGAAACTTTATTTATTATTTAGTACTACAACCTGGTAAAAATTATGCACCAACTTTAAAAATACCATGTACCGTGTATACTTAAAACAATATTAAAATAAATAATAATAATTATTAAAAAAACCTGAAAGCTTTCAGATTTTCCATTACGTCCAAAGGGGCGTTTTTGAACATTTTGTTATTTATTAAATAACATTTTCTTCGCGCTTAAACCATAAAATTCAATTCAAGAGCAATATTACAAAATTATTTAAAAAAGTATATCATTAGAATTTCGCATACACAGTCTCCCGCGTTGGAGATAAGATTTTATTTTTCTCTCGTACAGTGATGCCACTGCTCGTTTTGAAACCGTTTAGTTTGTTAACCAAAAATTCGTTAAAGTTTTACAAAATATAAAATAGATAACAAAGCAAATTCATATTTCAAATCTGAGATTCGAGATGCCTATATTCGAGTGGAGGACTACGTTATTCAAAATTTAATGTTTCTAGGTACCGTTGTTTTTTCACAATGCGAGACATTCATCCAGATTCTTCATTATTTAATTTCTTTAAATATAATGCAGGGCTCTAATATTTGTGGTTTGGTTTTGTTTTGTTTATTAGATTATGGCAAAGCACTCGAGGGCTATCTGCCTTAAGGGAGGGATGCCTTCGTGGAGGACTTTTTAAGGGAAACTGGCTCGTATACACGTTACACATGGGGAAAACCACGAAAACGCCCATGCAGCCAACCCGTTCGCGGGATTCGAACCTCGCTCTAATATTTGGTGGCAACATTTTGAAAAAGTGAAACGCTGTTTTATAGTGGACGACGCAAAATGCCAAAACGAAATTAATAGCCCTTTTGGACAAATTGGCCCTTTGGGCTAATAAGGTTTCATACTAGGAATTATAAAAATTTTCTCTTTTCCCAAAAGGTCTATCGAAAATTTTCTCATTAGTTTTCTACAATATCGATATTTTAAATAAAACTTTGCTTAAGTTATTAAAATTATTCGTAATTAAAGTTAATTACAAAGTAATGTATATTTCTTTCAGGAACATCGGAGATTTTTGTACTTCCATATTGCTACCCATGCCATCTCCATTGTTTCTTTAATTCCAGCTCTGATCATATTTTTAGCCTACAAGTAAGTGCTCATTTCACAAGAATGACTTTATTTTCAAAAAAAAAAAAAAAGAAGAAGAAGAAGTCTAAAGAGCTGTAAGATATTCCGATATTCCGAAGAGTTTTATTCTTCTGAATATAGATACGGAAATAGTTGTTTTTTGTTTAGAATACAACTTGTCTCTTGTGAATGTGACATACATAATGTACGTGATAAAGAAAAGAGGACATAAATAGTACGTCTACAAAATTTTAGGACCAAGTTCGTGTGAAAACGAAAGTGGAAGAGAAAATAATATTCTAATTTTAGTCTTTAATATAATATTTTGAAAGGTTTAAACAACGCTTGAGCATTCATACCGTTACTTGGTTTCTTCACAGAACTCTGCTATCAAATATTTTTTAAATATCTCATTACAGTTTTCTGGATTTTTTCAATGCTGTTAAAATAATGAACTTCTTAGTCAATGTCATGTAGCATAAATCATTTATTTATTTGGCTTTTTCACACCTAACGCAACGGATTCTCCTCAGAAGTTTGTCCATTACATCTTTATGAAATAAGAAGTTCATTGTGTGTACCTAAGAAGAAAATTCCTTGTTAATCATCTCTCTCCGATTCAAAAGGTTCACCAATATGGTCTTTACTGTGGATTTCTGAAACCGAAGTTTCTGTGGCCATGGTCAAACTTTTCTATCTCAAGCAGATGACTGCAGTTTCATATCAAGCAGCTAGTTTTAAATGTCAACTGTCTAGAACTCTATTTATTTTAAGAACCATTTGGAATACCTCATCTTAATTATTTCACAACAGACAACAATTCGAGAAAAAGTCGGGATTGGGTTGTTCGGAGAGTAGTTTTTTCCTAACAGATGGCTTAATTGTATTTTTTCACAGCCAACTTTATACTTAAGCCGCATAATCATAATATATTTTGACAGCTGCTATAGCAAGACTTTGTTTGTGAAAACGTTCGATTAATTCTACGCAGTAGTTTTTGGATAGTGCTCTTTCAAATATGGAAAGCGAAAAGCAGCATTTTTGGCATATTTTACTTTTTTAGTATCGAAAAGGTTAAAATGCTGTTCAAGTAAGAAAGAAATTATCAGATGTGTATGGAAAAGATGTATTGACCGAACTCTAGTTCCAAAACTGGTTTGCAAAATTTGGATCCGGCAATTTTGATCTTAAAGAGGCACCACGTTTTGGAAGTTGAAGCTGATGAAATGACAAGGTATTAATTGGTGTAAACCGGCGAATAATAACCCGTGAGATTGCTGAGCGATTAAATTTATCGAATTCGACCGTTCGTGGTCATTTTGAAATGCCTCCGTTTAATCTCAGATCTCGACGTATGGGCTCCTAGTGTTCTTAAGCTCTCCGTCAGCTTCAACTGACCTTCCAGAACGTTGTGCATCTTAAAGATAAAAATTCCTGGATCGAAATTTTGCAAATCAGTTTTGCCTCTGGCGTACATCAGTACAAGTGATAGCGTACAAGACAGTACATCTTCTCCATACACATCAGAAAATTTTTCCTCGCTTGAATAAAACTTTTAACTTTTCGGTAGTTAAACATGCCGAGAATGGTGCTTTTTGATTTCCATATTTGAAAGAGCACCAACCAAAAACCACTGCGTAGTATAAATCGAACTTTTTCGCAAACAAGCCTTGAAAATCAGCTGTCAAAATGTGTATTGATTATGCGGCTTAATAGAAATGATTATGCGGAGGTGTGAAAAAATACAATTAAGTCCTCTGTTGGAAAAAAACGAAATTAATTTCCGAACAACCCAATATATGAAACTTAGAATAATTTCAATAACTGGATGTGGCTGACAGAGATCGTTATTATACTCTCTGTAAGCATATAATTAGATCGACAGAAGAACGGAGAACACTTTCCAAAAGTAAGGAAGGTGTAGTTCTACCAGGATAGTTCCATTGAATATAGTTCATTTTTCCAGAAAACGCGGTATAATATATTGATTAATATTTTGGAAATTTTGGTATATACCTTCAAAGTATTCTTAAAACTTATTGGGCACTGTAACCGCATTCTTATGGATTACATTGACGTATTGTCTAGAAATACGTGTGAAAAGACATCATCGAGGCAACAAAGTTGGTGTTGTAGTGCAAAGGAGTTGAAATATCATTCAACCGTTCGGCACGATACGACAATTTGAACAAGAGCATCAGACCAAAGTATTTCGGATTTTTTTGTTAAAGAATACTTGTCTGCAGTTCTCCGACCATCATATTTGCCGGATGATTTGCCTATGATATCAGTATTCTCGTTTATCAAGAGAATTCTACCGAGTCAACATTTACAGACTTTAAATGATTCAAATGACACGACGGCCAGCCTAAAACAAATAGATAGGAGGAAGATGCATTCTTCTTATGTTTCTAGGAATACCTTCAGAACTGGGCAACACTTTCCGCAAATGTTTTAAACGTAGGAAATAAAAATCATTTTTTTCCTCCTGCAACTTTCAAGGTTTCAAACTCTTAAAAGCAGAAAATCAATAATTAGCCTCATTTATCGCTACTCTTAGTCATTCGGAGTCCTCCTACACATAACATGAAAATACCTCGTAAATAATCATGATGGATCATTTGTGCTTGTTAATGCAAGCTTTCAGTAAGTGATGAAAGCAGCTTTAGCTAGATCTTTCTCGATTTTGATCGAACACATTAAAAAAAGGTTTGTTTTGGCTTATTTAATTATGGCAAAGCACTCGAGGGCTACTGCAAAAACGGAGACCTTCGTGGAGGATGTTTTAAGGAAAATCGTCTTGTATACACATTTCACAAGGATAAAACCACGAAAATGCCTATTCAGCTAGCCCGTTTCCCGAGGATTCAAAAGCTGGACCGGATTGCCAGTGTTTAACGACTTTACCGCTCGACCGCTTGTGGGCTCCGTTGAAAAAGGGAATCCGATAATCTAGTAGTTTTCTTTCCTTACCACCAGTCGTTCAAGAAAACTTTTGAATCGCCTTTCTTGAAATGCCCTAACATCGCCAATGGACTGCAGTAACAAGCATGCATATCTTACTTGAACCTGGTCAGCCATGGTGAATATTACCTCTACTATTCGCCATACCGAAAAGATGGTCCAGGCGCTTCCAATAAAAAGACCTTACTGTAGAACTCATTTTAAATTTTGGTATATACCTTCTATTGACTGGGGAGGAGAAATTTCTGATAGCCATTTTGCTGTGGCCAAGCTTATTTTAAAAAATAAATTTTGAGATCTGAAATTTCCAGATCACAAAATAACATGTTATCACATAAACATATCTTCTCTTGCTGCCAACTGGTGAAACAATCCTTCTCGCGTACAATTAAAAGGCAATTCAAAAAAAAAATTCAAAAAATAATACTAAAGAAATGAGGAGAGAGAAACAGAAAAAAAAAAGTTAAGGTTTTGAAAGGTTAAATAAATCGCGTATTTGAACAAAATGAAAACAGAAATATACAAACAGGTTTGCAATATATATGTTACAAAATTTCATCATATGTATCATATTTTGTTTCGGAACACAGATAACATCACATCTGTGGAAGTAATTTTGCAAGTTATTAGTTGTATAGGGTTAAAAATCTGTTTAATGTATATTACAACATTTGCTGCAAAATAATGTTAAGATGTCTGAGTAAAATGGCTGGTTAAGTTGCTGCATTGAACAATGCACTTTCATATTATTGAAGATAAATGAAAGATGTTAAGCATCGTCAATTATTAACAAAGTCTCCCTATCGCGAACATCAAAAAGAAAAGGAAAACCTCAAAAAATATCTTTCCAAAAACAAAATCCGGGGGGAAACAACCTTAGGGAAAAAAAATATGTGCCAAATAAAAATTGCAATCTGAATGTTTCAGATAGCAGTATAACATTTTAAAAAAGGATTTACAAATAAAATTTTTTAAAAAACTTTTGAAAAAAAATCCTTTTTTAAATCTGATTTTTGTATTCAGTTTCTATTTTAATACTTGAAATAGTTTTCAGCTAAGCAATCATAACAGAATTACTGATTTAAAAGGTTTATCCCAGAAATTCAAAATGCAAAACATAAAATCATGCATTTAAAATGAGCTTCTGAAACGATAGAGAAAAATACCAAACGATAGAGAAAAAACTGCTATCATTATATATTATTGTGAATTAATGTCAGGTAGAGAGTTGTGTATTTAATTAATAAAGAAAAGATGTAATTATTCAAGACGTAGTTTGATTTTTTTTAATCGATCGCTTGAGCATAAAGCTTAAATATTCTCCTCAAGCAAAGTAGCAACTACTTTTGTTTTACAAGAACGGGAAATTCAGTAGGAAAAACAATACCTTTTTTTCCCTAAGTGCGGTAACAGCTATTTGTCAAGCAGTGGATCAAATAAACTCATGTCCATACATTAAGGATAATGCAAAATCAGACAAAGGAAGAGTTAGAAGCAAAACAATTGTGACTTATTTGTAAAGCTTATTTATTAAACAAAAGGTAAAGTGAAAAAAAAAGATGCCATATGTTTGATATTATTAAAAAAATTAGCGATTTTTTCTCCCTGGAGCAAATTACCAAAAAAAAAAAAACCTATTTACAAAAAACCAATATTACATGGTTGGTATGATTGTTAATACATTGTATGTCTCCCAGACGATGCAATACAGTCCGTACAACGCCTAGGCATGCTGAGTATCAAATTATCGATCTGATCTTGGGGGATATTACACCACTCAAAAAAGCAATGCTCTCCGAAGTTCCGGTAGACATGTAGGAGGAGGTTGACGGGCTGCAACTCGTCGGCCAAGCATGTCCCACATGTGCTCTACTGGATTCAAGTCCGGTGAGAATGCTGGCCAGTCCATACGGGTGATATCCTCCGATTGAAGGCATTCGCTTACGATGTTTGCACGGTGAGGACGGGCGTTGTCATCCATAAACACAAATTGTGCGCCCATGGCGCCCCGAAACAAACGTACATGTTGTTCCAGAATGACGTCCCGATAGATTTGGCTTGTCATGGTTCCAATTTGAACATGCAGGTCAGTTCTGGAACCCAGAATAATTCCACCCAAACGAGCACTCCTGCACCACCGTAACGGTGTCGTTCAATGATGTTTTCTTGGTGGTAACGGGTACCTGGAGCTCTCCATATGAAAGTCCGGCGAGAATCAGACTGCAAGCTAAACCTGGACTCGTCGGAAAACATCACACAAGCCCACTGTTGCGGTGTCCACAATGCATGCTCTCTACTCCAGGCTAACCGCAGGCGACAGTGAGTTGCAGTAAGTGGAACGCATCTGACAGGTCTACGAGCATATAGACCAATCTGCCCTAAGCGTCTGTACACGGTCTGCCTTGAAATTGTCGTACCAGTGGCTGAAGAGAGCTGATGAGACAGGTCTGAAGCTGTGCTCCGCCTGTTTCTTTTGGCAGTAACTGCCAAATACCGGTCCTCATTCGGCGTTGTAACTCTGGGGCGACTTGTGCTGTAACGTCTACTCACATTACCACATTACCATCATCTTGGAATCGCTGCCAAAGCCTGGAGATGACACTCTGGGCAATTCCAAGTTCGTCTGATACTTCCAGTTGATAACGCCCACATTCCAGACGGCCGATAATTCTACCACGTAAAAAATCATCCAAATGCGTCTTTTGTGTCATAACTATTCGGTTATTGCACTGAAATGCTTATAAAGCGCCTGCAAACAATTTTACTTCTTTGCCTGTATTCCTTATATATCACTCTCTTACACTCTCGTCATTGTGACGTACCATCGGTGTCACCTGGTTACTTCCTCAAATTTACATATGATTCTTGAAGATGTGTGTAGTGATTTTACAGGTGATATATTTATTTTAGAGTTCGATTTCCGCGTGACTCCGAATTATCCTTAATTTATGGACATGAGTGTATTTGGAACGCACTTCAAAACTGTTTTATATTTTTTCTAAATCTTTGATAATTTCGTTTTGGTACTTATACAATTTTCTGCAACCGTTTGCGCATTTTAAACATTGGACGACCCTTTGCACATCTTATTTTTTCTTACTGAATAATAAGAAAGTAAATTTCATTAAAAATAATTAGAAATTATTGGTTAAAAATAGAATTTAGATGTTTAGCAGTTATGTTAAATTTTAACCCATTATTTTTAAATCAATACACAATAAATCAATACACGATTTTTAAATCAATACACGATTTGTAAAACTCAATGGCATTTCCTATTCAGAAACATCTTAAAGCTTTTATATCGCATATATTTATGTATTTTGGTTACTCCACTACCATTCGAATTGAAAAAACCAGAACTGGTGATTTCTTCTGGAGTTTGTTTACTAAGCTGTATGAATAAGAGTTTTTTTTTTTTTTCGTGCAAAATAAATGCGAGCTGTTTTTACAAAGACATTTATTTCCCAAGGATAGATAATCCTTGGGTGGTTTGTTTTAGTTTAACAAAATTAGTTCTTCACACATTGGATTTTAAGTAAAGTATTCCTAGAATAGTGTTTCAAATATTTATTATTTAAGAAATCTAATTTTTTTACCTAAATATATTATATAAGTAAGATGTTAGACTAACCTAAAGAATAAAAAGAAATCAATAAATTTCATCTGAAAAAATAAATTTTGCTATTACGTTGTATAACAATCTGATTTTATTATTCATTATTATGAAACTATGGAATTGCAAAGTAATTAGATTGTCACATCATGGAGCTTCTAAAAGCAAAATATACATTTATTTTTGCTTCCTGTTTTAGGCAATTGCAAGTGCATCGCATTATGATGCACAGGAATTTGTTTTTATCTCTACTTTTAAACGGAGTTATGATGATTCTTTTCAAGTCAATCGTCATGCTAGATGAGTTTAAAAGGACTGACATTTACAATGGAGTATTAAACAGAAATCAAGTGAGTATTTTAATCAAACTTAGATCAAAACTCTCCTAATTAGAATAATTTTTATCTTTACGCTGATTTAAACATATATGCTTAATTAAGTTAAATCATTTCATTCCAGTTATTAGTATCCTAAAGTGTTTGATCAAATACAGGATTTCAGGGCATTATATCTTTGGCTGTTCTTTTATCATAAGGTTAAATTATAATTATATTTATAAGATACTGATGGCAGTAATATTATACTCCGTATGTAAGTTCAAATCCTAATATGGATTATGTGGATTGATGGACATTCAAAGTGCAGTATCATGCGGTTTTGACATCTCTTGGTTTGACAGCAAAACAAAATAATATAAAATGCACTGCTGACCATCCAAAATGAAGCACGAAAAAAAAAACATGAGATATCAAAGCAGGCAGTATCGAGATTCAGTACAGTAGGCAGAATCGAGATTCATTTGAATAGTCAGTGTCATAATATTCATTTGTGCATGTTCAACACAGCATTGTAGCCCCATAGCCTGTAATCGCAACAATGGACACCTCGCAAAGACTCCCTTTCTCTGCAGAAAACGTTGAGTTGTATGAGCCAACAGAATTTGTTTAGCAAAAACCTAAATTCTAATATTTATGCTAAACTTCTTGATAATGCTGTATGATCCGTCATTACCACAAGTACAATGTTACTATCCTTTCTTTCGCTGGTATAACAAAGCTAGTACAATCTTTCTCTTTGGTTTGTCCATCCCTCTTACTCTCGCTAATTCTCGCTTCTTTAATATTTGCATCGTAGCGCCTTGAGTTAGCCCAACAAGAGCATTGATTTCTCGAAAGGATAATTCTCACACTCTTACAGGATAAAGTGAACTCTTACAGCTAAAAGGATAGTGACATTGTTACTCTGTAAGCCACAATTCTTCATTAGTCAAACTCAAAAACTTACCCTAGTAATTACCATTTCCGCCCCCCCCCCTCGGTGAAGTGAACTGAAATTTCCCATGTAAAGGAACAGCAAAAAAATACATAATTCCAGTACTTAAACAGCTTACTATTTTCCCTTTTTTATAACGCTTCTAGATCGAGCTGCTGGCGCAGATTATTAGCGTACCTGCTGCTTGCTACATTTGCATGTCCAGTCGGCCTACTGATGGCGCAGTGCAGGTTTCAAGACTGTCAGATGGTTTCTTTGTCTTCTGCATTTTGGATGGCTAGCAGAGTATTATTACACATCGTATAATATTGTGTAACTGGAACGAAATTAAATCGAAATGCAGAGCTAAATTTAATTTATTCCAAAATAAATTATTCTCCAAAAAACTATGATAATAAGATTAAGAATCAACATCACAAACAGAAATATATAACATACGTTGAGAGAAATAATATCCCAACTGAATATATATGTCTACCCGAGTGATGAAAATTTCAATTAATTGCTTGGAGAAGAATATTTTGGGAAAATTAAACTGTGAAGAATCATGCAAAAAGAAGTTCCATTGCGATATAGTGAATAAAAAAACATTCTGAAAACCTTTAACGCGAAAGAATTTAATCACAGTATGTAAGTTCAAAGATATTGAATTTAAACTGTGAATGGCAAAGTTAATTGAAAGCGCCTATGACTGATTGCTCAAAGCCAAGTTCTTTTTAAAATGCAATTTTAAATCTGAAAACTGATACTTCATTTTCTGATAGGAAAGCCAAAACGAAAAGTGGCTGCCTAGAGTTTTCACTATAGCGTTATAGATGTAATTAACGATATATATACTATATTTCATATGATGGATTGCTTCTATTTAAAATACATTTTTCTTTTTGGACTCAGCCCACTTAAATGGAAAATAATTTTAATTAGGTAATTTTTTTTGCTTGTTTATGATTTTGAGGCTATAATTTAAAAAAAATTACTCCGGTCAAAATTTTCAAATGTTATTATTTTTCATATATTGGATTGCTTATACTTACATATTTTTTTTGGGGGGGGGGGGAACTCGGTCAGTCGAAAGAAACGTTTTTAATTTTTAAGCTTTTTTAACTTTGTTTATGGTTTTAACGCTTTAATTTTACAATTTTTTTGCACAAATTACGACGGCTTGTAGACACAGATTACTTTGATTGATTTTTTGAGAATAAGTATTTTTATTTGTGTCCTTGTTAGCTCACAAACAGGCTAATTATTTACTTCTTTTATTGCACCAACTCGTATGACTGTTCAGCGAAAGATGTAATTCCCCTCCCATGTAGTTTTCACTGTAATTCTGTTTCCCCCCCCCTCCGTATATTTTGCCCCCGAACTGAATATAGGATGGATTTTAAACATATTATTTATTTATTTTAATTTGATTTGCATTATATACGTTACCGGCATTCTCTATAGAATGCCAAATTATTGTATATAATGCCGGACATTTTTAGGGAAAGTATGAAATTTCTCTAAGTACTGTATATTATACCTAGGCATTCTTTAAAATGACAAATGTACTTTGGGAAAAGTATGAAAAAGGGTTATGATAAGGCTATTATTTAAAAGACGTACATTTCTCAAAATTAGAAATGTTATTTTTAAAAATTAATGAAAGAATGTCATTAAAAAACTATTATTCGAAATATGTAAAAATAAACCATAGATTATCTTGATACAACATAATAAATTTGTATTTTCTACTTGGCTGAGACTGAAAATCAGTAATATCTACCTAACAATGGAAATTAAATTCAGAAACTATAATAAGCTTCACAACAATGCCCTTTTTAATGCCTTTTATTTTTTCTGGCAGGGTGGCTGTACAGTTCAATATCATTAGGTGTAACTTTTCTGTATTTGATTGAAATTTTTTTCAACGTTCTCTCCGTGTATAGTAATCAAATGAGATTTCATGAAGTGCGGGAAATAACTCAGCGTCCGTGACGTAATACTGTATAGTACTGACGATTTCTTTATTGGGATAAATGAATGTAATTTTTTCCCCACAAACATTACATTCTAGCAATTCAGCAGTCTAATAGTCCCGTGGTTCCTTCTTAGTAGTCATTTTGGCTTTTTTACATCATTTATTAACTTCTGGTAAATAGTTTCAGCTCTTCAAAATGAATCGGAAATGTATTTCGTATTTTGCCGATTTGCCATTTGGCATTCAATAAAATGCCTAGGAAATGTAGGAAATTTGAATCGTTTCATATTTTGCCGGCTAATTTTAGGCATATACTATGCCTAGGCATGCATATTACGCATTGTATAGAATGCCGGATTTCAATCTTTGCCTGTAACATATATATAATGATTTTGGGAATGACACATATAGATGTTGAAGAGCACATAATAAATCCGGAATGTAGAAGAAACTTGGAACTCATATGATGCAATAAGAGGCAATCGTAGCAGAATTAAATATTTCTTTTATTGCAGTTAAATATTTTGCAGCCACAAATACTTAGCACATTATTCGTGTTTGTTCTATAACAATTACATTTTTGATTTTGTTGGGATAGGAAGAAAACCAGCAAAATGCGTCAGTTCAATCATTGCTCAGGATCGAAACAAAGATTTTCCGGCTTATAAAAATGACCGTAGTTAGTACACATCACTTTTTTCTGGCCTGCTGCGTCTTAATAAATAACGTCTCTCGTTTCGCCTTTTTTCTCTGTTATCTAAAATATAAACTCTGTGTATCGAAATTGTAGGGTGCATTTATCATCCCTAGTGTGAAGCAAAATGCATCTTATTGAGAATAGAGGTAAAAACAAAGTGCAAAATTATGCAATATGGCAGCTTAGTAAGAGAAATTTTCGGTTTAAATTCCGAATCAGCTATGTAATCAGTGTTGTTAAGTCATATCTATGGACTGATCTAGAAATGACGCAGTCCAGAAAAAGGTTTTACTGTTTCTAGAATAAAGAGTGAAAGTATCCGGATTAAAAAGAGGAATTAAGGGCTATTGATAATTTAAATTATAATTTTGATTTACCTGTTTTTATCTTTCCTGTATATATATATATTAAATGACTTAGTATTGGTCTTCGGTGTTTTTTCGTTTTGTAGGCTGGATGTAAATTCTTACTTATTTTGTCGAGATATTTCCGAATGACTAACTACATGTGGATGTTCTGTGAAGGTTTCTACTTGCACAAACTAATCTCAGCGGCTTTTGCAGAACAGAAAAATCTCCTTATATTTTACATCATTGGATGGGGTAAGTTTCTATAAGCATTTGTTTAACAATGATACATCGAGATATCGCATTTTCGGTCTCACCTTATCACAACAGAGTGAATATCTCAACAAAACGAATCATACGAAATTTTGTATTTATCAGTATATATAAAAGATCAATTTCGATAATTCACGCTTACACAGTTTCATTTAACTTGGTTTTTCTTTTTTTTTTTAATCAAAACATGAAATGAATTAAAATTTTCTCATATATACTACTATATTTAAGATTTTGGGGCAGTTTTAATAAGAATGATCTTTCAATTTTAACAGCTGATGATTTTAATAGATGATTTTAATAGCTGAAGAGATCAGATCTCTAAATTAAACAGATATTTAAATGTAAATTTACGCCATATTAGATACAGATTGCTGCTAGCAATGGTAGATTTTAAATAAAAGTTTCAAGCAGAATTTTAAACGTATTGAGAATGTAATCATTCTTATTCATGTAATTTCTATATTATGACTTCTGTTTTTAATTGAAATTATGACCTAATATATTATGTTTATTCGGATTTGGGGGCTTCATGTCCATGGCTTTAAATTTAACCTAGATTCAAGGAATAGTAGAAACAGTTGCAATGCATTTGACAAATTTAGCTCGAGATTGTGCCATGATGCATCTTCTCCCCCCCCCCCAAAAAAAGAGTCTTGACACCTCTGCCAGCTTGTGTTCTTTTTAGATAGCGAAGACATGGTGCACTAGAATTGGTGACATTTCGTAGGATTTCAGCCGGACAAGCGAGTCATCTTCTCAAAAACAATTAGATTCTTCTTTGGCTGAACCAGTACTCCATGGCTTTACTCCTCTGTGTAGTGGTTTTCTGCTACTGACATTAGACTGATGTCTGAAATATGCCTTCGAAATTATACAAGACGATTCTACAGCCCTTTCATGTACTCAACTCCAGCCATTCGTGGAATTATGAATGCCATCTGAAAACTGAGAAACTATAAAGGAAGTGCACTCTACGCCATATATGGTTGGAGCGCATCTTCTCTGGCATACATGGTGTTAGAAAGCGGTATGAGTATAGTGGGAATTTTCTTCCACACTATATTCTAAAGAGAAAAAGCTGTTCCTACTTATGAATTCATTTTCACCACGAAAACCTTTCAGACGGCATCAGTAGTTCGACATGTATACAAAGTATATGGAAATGCTGTAGAATCGTCAACTGTCATTTCTGAAAGTTTTTCGATTAACTGCACTTAGTTACCAATATAATGTAGCTAAACATAAGAATAATGCTACGAAGCAGAAATTCGTTCATCTCAGTTCGAGCTGTGAGAAAGTGGCAGCAAGTCATATTACTTCAGAGGATGGCTGATTTAATAAATAGGCACAAGTATAATCTTACTTGGGGAAAGAAAATAAACTGAACTTTTATTAAATTAACGATATTTTATTGTTATTCACTGGCATTATTCAATGAAATTCTTGTTTATGGAAGTAAGCATATTCTTTTGACACTGTCTAAATCCGATTTTTAAAACCGATGTCTAAAACCGGGTTTTAACGTGAACTTGAGCGAGTTTGAGCGTGAAAACATGCGAAAGGAACTGAGTGACGTGAAAATAATAACGTAGGTAAAACATTAAGTACATTTCCGAAAAACTTAAAATCGGAGATGGAAGTGTCATTGGTGTACAGAGTATTTTTATTAATCTACATAAAGTAATAAAGAAAAGTTTTTTGCAAGGATTATGGCTTACATGCATTTGTAATCTAGAAATAAATATAAACTTTATATAACTCTTCCATTTAACAAACTAAAATATAGCTTCCAAATAGAATGATAAAATCAAAACAGCCTCATTTGTCCGAACTAACCAGAGTGGAGAAATTTTCGGTTTAGGCCCCCTCTGGTTTAGAAACATAACCCGTGCTCAAGCTTGATTTCATAAAAATTTCGAGTGGCTTTTCTCTGCATACATCATTTTCTATACCTATGTTATATTTGATTATATTATAAACTTATTTTACTTACGTCATGCAAAAGTTCTGCTGCGTGCATACGGGTTCTTAATGGATTGCATGCGCACAGAACCGTTGATAACTTGATAGAATTTATCTTCACAAAAGAAATACTTTACAGCAGTGCTCCGCAACCGGTGTGCCGCGGCACACTGGTGTGCCATGAGTAGGATATAGGTGTGCCGCAATCAAATACATGTATTTGACATTTTGCAATTTTTTATCATGTATTAATACACATGACAATTTTTTTTTTTTTCCTAATAATGTCTATTTTAAATGTTTTTATATATTTCACTGTTGTGTGGTTGTGTGTGTGATTGTAAGTGTGTCAGCATTTGAATTTTGTCGGCACTTCCTTGATAACTCGGAACTCTTTGGTGTGCCACGAAATTCCAGAAAGATTTTTTGTGCGTCGCAAGTGAGAAAAGGTTGCGGAGCACTGCTTTACAGTTCTAGAGCTTTCCACAAAAGAACTCATACAGTTCTTCTTAGTACGATAGAGCTCAACTACTTTAAAATTCTAAGATCGTTAAACAGAACGTAATGCAAAGCGCGTGTAAAGAGCAAAGTTCACACGGAGGTCTCTCAATACTCCGAAGTCAGCTTGTAAGGATATTAAGTTTTACTAACGTTTATTTTATTTAAAACTTTACTATCCTCTTCTATTTTCCACTTCCGGCCAGAATAAACGCGTTAACTTGTTTACGCGTTAAATTGTACTTGCTAACGCTTAAGTATTTAAGTTGAGGCTTTTTGCCAAGAGCAGAGTTAGATGGAAAGAAAGTGAGCCGCCTTGTCACTGCATTTTACGCAAACTTGCCCTCATTTGCTGTCTGCCTTTAAGACCAGAGGTTTTATTCCTCTCGAAAGCTAAAGAAGTATACTATGCGTACTACATGCATAATAGTTTAAAAGGCCAGTCTTAGTGTTAGTCATTTGTGTAAAAGTATTCAAAGTTAGCTTTTATTTTAAATTTTAGTTAGTCAGTAGTTCTTATATTTTACCTTCAGAACACAAGTGGTTGGTCTTTGTATCCCGAAGTGCGGGAGCGCCTGTAATATCGTGAAAAATAAAGGGTAATTTAACCCTTCTTATCTTGTCATCTTTGCTGCTGTCTAGTCAAACTCACTGTCTAGTCAAGACACGTCATGTTCGCCAAGCAGATTAGAAGGAACAGTAGTCCTGATAAGCTCTGAACTAAAAAAAATTAGAACTGTTGCTCTCCCCGGGCTTATATAGTTTTCCCCGACCGTCGAGAAATCTCTAGTATCAATTACAATTATTCAGTTATAGTATCAATTACAGTTATCGGGACCGGACCCAAATGTCACCAAATTGTCGCCACGTGTAGCTACTTTTGGTGACATGGCTACATTTGGCGACTTTTCGCCAAATTTAGGGACAAAAATAAATCGCCAAAACTATCGCCGACTTGGCGGTATCTCGCCAAATTAGGGAGATAGATATTTACCTGAAGGTTAAATAGACCCTTGTAAAATTGCTTTTTCGAAAGAACTTCGTCTCTTCAGACTTTTCATGTTATATTATACAAGAGATACTACAATCTCACATATAATTTCACTAAAATTATTTACATACATACAAAATTTGTAACAGTACATATCCAGTCACACAAAAGTATAAGTATAAATCTATATTTACAAAAAAAATATGTTAAGTTTTTATAGCAGGACATTCGGCCTTTTGTTACTTCCACAGCCTTAAATAGCAAAAAATTACTATTGCTCACATAAGCGAAAAAATCATTTAAGGTTTAAAAGAATATTTTAATAATTTACCGGATTTCAGATGCTTCCATTTTGGTTAGTTTACTCAAGAAGAAATTAAGAAATAAAGAAATCTTTCAGTACAGCATAAATTTGATATTATGTATTCCATCAACGAATATAGGTACTTGGAGATAAAAAAATTGGCAGCCCACATCTTTTGTATATATAGATATTGCCATCATTTATCTACATCGTTGCAGTCTGTTACGTTAATTTAGGTATTTGAAGAGATCCTCTTTCTTTTGGCTTGCCTCTTAAATATGTTAACGAGTGCTGCGGAAAATGATCGAATCCTCTAATTTGCTTAAATCTAATCCTCCGGTACTGTTCTGACGACACATATTGCAACCTTAATTGAGGGGAGGATCGTTATTACCTCCAAATGCTTATTTTAAAATTATAGACTATAAGTATATATTTATCTTTGACTAATAACAAAATAAAAAAATGTCCATTTAACAAACTGAAAAAATAATTGATTATTGGTCTTATCGATTTAAGTTCGTTTAAGCGAGATTTTGCAGTGAAGCATTTTCTTTCATAATGCATAGCATGTAGAAGGTTAGTCAGAAAAGCAAATATCAAAGCTAGGAAAATATTGAAAATTTGCCTGAATTAAGGCTAGTCTCCATGCTTTTAAAGAAATCCCCCTTCTGTTTTTATGCGCTCTTATTATTATATTTATGAGCTTCTATATTAATATGTGCTTTATTATTAAATTTATGCACAAGAATAACATCATCCTAGAACTCTTTCTTTAGAAGTTGATCTAGTATCTCTACAAATCTGCCTGAATGATTTCTGCGGAATTAAAATGGGGATCCTTGGATTTCAATCTCCATTGGGGGAAGGAAGTCCGACAGCGTCACATCTCACAAGGAAGGTAAATGAAGCACCACTGTGAGTTCCGCTTCCGCCTAAACTGTTTCGTCTTCAGATGATGCGTCATGGTGCGCTATTGTCTGATATAACTAGCACCTAACCCTTCCCAGTTGAAGACTTTCATAGTAAAAGCTCTCTCTCGGCAGCCTCAAATTATCAGAATAAAACGGTGCGTTGGCTCTCTGACCTGAAAATATTCTTAGGGTACATAGCATAAATATAGGCATTCCTCTATCCGTCAACTAAATGACACTAAGAGTTCCCTCACCCCGCCGAACTAGGCAAAAGTGTTCAACCCCTGCCCTCGCACCTTGGAGAGAGAGCTGCATCGCTTTCGCGACATTAACCGTCGTCTATGATTTGCTACCTGCCAGTCGCTCGGGCTGCCCGTCGTTCAAGGACATTACCCAGCGTACCAAACTACTAGAGGCCTAAGCTCTAGGACCTTTCATATCCACAGGCCGTCGATCCCAGGGGGGATTCTTATCGTACAGTATTCTTTTTAGGAAAATCATAAGTATTCCCTTCATTTAAATTTCAGCTTTCCTTGGCCACTTGAGAAATTTGGGTTTCTCTATGCTGAATGGATCTATGACTTGCCTCAAGCAATCTGCTCCATATAGCACTGCTCGAACTGGTCCTAGCCCTGGCGTTAACCCTATGAGGTTAGTTAATGAAGCCAATCAAATCCGTAAAGGAGCCAGATCATAGACTTCTAGGCGCTTCAGTTTAAAAATCTCCAATCAGGACGACAGTCAGAGTAGAAACTTGAGTACTGGTATTAAGGGATCTATAAAATGTTCTTTCTGATCTAATTGGTATCCGTGAGACTGTCTTTGTAGTGGCTGTTCAATGGAATCTATTTTTTGCTGTAAAAACTAGCCACTTCAGTTGCCGTCATGACGTTACAAATTAATAAAATGGACTTCCAACATTTCCAAGAAAGTTATTAGAAATCATATTAAATCAAAATAATATTTTTATTATAATATTATATATATTAAATCAAATAATTACCTATATTAAATCAAATATAATGCATTAAAAGTATTTGTACAGATACAATAGATCTACAACACGAAATTCAACTACTTATTAAAATTGTTAAAAATAATCAAGTGCCAAATAACTTTATTAATGTTTGTCTTAAAAGAGCAAGCGTTAAATTCTCAATATAAATCATTTGGCTGATAGGGATATGAAAATTTATTCCCAAATCTTAGGTGCAATATGTTTGATAACTATCAGTTAAAAGATTTATAAATAATGTAATTACTGTAGTTATTGTATATAATGTAAAAACCATTATTTCTAGCATTTTCTTTATTGCTATCACTAAAAAATGGGCCTATTTCAAATTTTCTAAGCCTGCTTAACAGCTGTTGAGCAGTGAAGATTTCTTGTACTTTTTTCCTCTTTCCACTAATACAGTTAGTCAGAAATTAATTAATTTCTTTTGTTTGGTCAGTTTAAAATCAAGATTTTAGCAGACTCATCTTACCCTCAAAAGTTTTCCAAGACTACTTCTCTTTTTTAAAAGTCTTCTTTTCAAAAGTTCCAAGACCACTTTTCTCTAAAAATATATTCCAACAAGTCCCCGCCTATACGCTCTCTCTCTCTCTCTCTTCCCCTCCATTCTCCATCCCGGTTCGAATCCATTCTGAGTACGAAGAACGTGACGGACATGTATCTGTTTAACAGCTAGTAAACACTTAAGTTAATTAATTCATCTTCTGGCCTTTAATATATATTATGTAAATTTACTTTTCCTACATTTTTAATATTTCCTTTTAGTATTATGTGAATATATAGTTATTCACCTTTACTTCCTTGTTTAATTGTTTTATTTTCTTTTGGGATATAAAAATAAATTTTTATCCAATTCAGTGACTGAAAGATGTTATTTATACCAAGACTGTGGCGATATCGCAGTGCGCAATGCAGAACTTCTGGATGAAGCTCTAGGATTGTATAACTCGTAAAGGCAAGCATCGGTATAATATTATGTGTAAACAAAAGAGATGAAAAAATGCAAAATTGCTCTGAATGATAGTAAAATAAAATTTGGAATAAGATCGATATTAACCTAATATTTTTTGCTACGAATTTTGAGAAGATCTTTTGACTAGACGCTGTATAAATGCATAAAAGTGCTTACTCTTTAGGTTAAGTTTTCAAAATTTATTGGCTCTGTGAGGCTTCTTTTCAATATAAGCACTATTTCAGCGAAAATATAAATTTATCATTTTCTTTTCATTTTATTAATCACTCTGATTCTTTTCTCAAACGCCATTATTTCATAAAAGTAGTGTTTGATGAAACATAAATAAAACTAATTATACTGATGATACCGTCGATTTCATCTTTCCTCTTACTGAAGCTTTAAAACAGATACGACTAAAGTATATATGAAGGACTTGTTCACCTGAAATACACGACTTAATCAAGACCGTTGATAAGGATTAGAAAAAATATATTATAAATTCATTGGAAATATTTCAAAAGTTGACACTAATCCTATTTAAGACCAAAAAATATTTAATATATTAACAATACAGGCAGTGCTATGAAAAACTCTTTTCTGCACTACCAAAATGTTTTAAAAATTATCACTAATCTTGCTTAAATCTAAAAATGATTGAAAACTATTGATGTAAAAATTCATGTTTTATTCACTATAAGTATTTATATGGATTATAAAATTTAACAAAACTTATTTTAATTCATTTGTCTAGCCAACGATTAAGTAATTCAGAAATTTTCATATCGCTGAGTTCGCTATTGAAATTCAGCTTGAAATGAAATCGTTGCCAAATGATTTGAGTTAACAGTGCTTTTTTAAGCTTCTGAGTATATCTCAAAAACATAGATCATTTATAACTCCATTTTTTCATCATCTTACAATCTAAGTAGATAAAAAATAAAATGAAAGATAGATTAAGTTACTGAATCTGGGATGGGGAAGTAACAGGTATGTTCAAACATTTTTTCTCGATGACTGGTATAGAAATTTATTGCACGTGGTGAGAGATTATGTTTGTTGACTTAAATATTTTTAGTATTTAGTTTGACAACTTTATGGAAATTTCTGAAATATATAAATATATATTTAAGGAAATTAATTTTGGGAAAGTTTTATAGTAAACAAATCACGAAATTCAGGGAATAATTAGCACAAATTGTAGAAACATTAGGTATTTTTTGGAAGCAGGAAAAGAGAAAAATGAGCAACGCCTTCGCCAGGAATCGAACCTCGGACTTCTGGAATACGCGCCCCAGCGTGCAGACCACAACACTACGAAGGCATGCTAAGAATGCGGGAGAAATACCTTATACACTCCAACTTTTAAATGGCGACTGGGATTTTTAGGTGACCCAATCGCTAGATCTTGGGTGTGGAGAACCATCATCCACCACCCTTTTAGCTCGGGCACCACTTTAGAGCTATTAGATATTTTTTTAAGCAAGAGACTTGAAAAATGAGCAACGCCCCCTCCGAGAACGAACCACGGACCTCTGGAATACGCGCTCAGCGTGCAGACAACTACACCACGAAGGCATGCTAAGAAGGTGGGAGAAATGCCTTATAAAAGAAGCAAAAGCGGATCGCTGACTGCAGTCTAGTTAGAGTTTGCTCTGATTTTTAAGTGCCATGCATGTAACTTTTCTTACACTGCGTAAATACTCTTTTCCGTCTCCTTTCATCAGGGTATTTATTAAAACTCTAGTTTTATTATAGTTGTTTATTTTAGTGGTGTTATTTAAATAAGACTTCTTGACTATTTTCTTTTCCTTTGCAGTTTTTCCCATAGTGCCAGTTGGAATTTATGCAATATTAAGAGGAGTTTTTGCTAATGAAAAGTAAGAATTTTAATGGTTTTTGAAGTCTTTTATCAAATATTCATGAAGCTTGAAAACGATCAATCGTTTAAAAGAGTTCTTTTAATCCAAATAAATATGAACTGGCACATAAAGCACGATATTTGTCAAGACCTTATTACCATGCCAACCTTAACTGTTACTTCTTTTACTATGAGCTGCGATAGGGATCTAAAGGCTTTTACCTAAATGCTAAGAAATGAGAATGACATTTGCCTAAATAAGTAAATAAATCAATAGTTAAGATTGCTTTATGTTACTTTAACATAAAATGCTGATGCGGAAAATGGTTTTGATCTTATATATTTATTTCCCAATATTGTTTGGATGAAGAACTAATTAAATCATTTCTGTGGTTTAATGAAACTAAGAGAACCATACTTTTTAACAGAAAATAAATCATGCCATCCAAAGAAACATAACACAGTTCATCTGAATAACTCCTTTTCAGAGGTTTAAAAACAAATTAATTAATGCTGCTCATCAAGAGCAAATGAAGCGATTTTGTTAGGCGGCTAAAAAATGTGATTCCATTTTGGCTTCCCTGAGGCTTTGTGGAATTTTGAGTCAATCATTATTATTAGTCTACGTGAAAAAGATATGCACAGAGTGTTTTCACATAATGGAAAGATTTCAGTGATTTAATGCAAACAGTTGAATAATCAGAGCTATACCCATATGATCTAAGAGAATAAATATTTAAGTTTTGTAAACTTCATTTCCCAGACATTCAGTGTCGGTAACAAATGTGAATCTAAGTCATATAATAACCCATTTCATGGCATCCAACGAAATTTTGTAACAGTAGTTGTAACTTCTACAAGTCTACATTTTAGTTCTTGGACATCAAGAGGCAAAGAAAGAATATAACAAGAGTTTTTCTTAAAGCTTCACAAGCACGAATTTAAATCGGAAAATCTCGATATCGCTCGTATTTCAATAAGCATATGTCGCTTCTTTCATTAATGCAGTCCATTGGCTGTGTTGCTTTTACAGAATACGGTGTGATGATAGGAAAAAAGACAAGAAAGATAAAAATATACGATAGGAGGACTTCAAATAATAATTTTTCTTTATAAAATAAAATTCTATTCGTCTGATCGAAATCCACCAACGAGAATTCTCAGGACCAGAATGTAAAAGTCATTTCATAGCTGTATACCTAGCTGAAGTTGCGGAAAAGAGAAGTTTACATGAATAACTTGTGACTTACATAATTTAATTAAGAATTTCCCAATAAAAGGATAGGATAATGAAAATCAACTGAATGGTCACAATCTTTCAGTATTGACTCTGTGGATTTCTCATAATTAGGAATAATGTATTTTTCAGGAAGGCACATGCAGTCGATCATTTTATAAGAGAGACGTGCCACGAAATTGTTAAACGTAAAACATTTTGATGCAAGATGTGTTTGAGTGTTCGTTCAAAACTACAGGAGAATGTTAATGCCGAAAGCGAATAGCTTAAACTTTTAAGAGATTAAATTAAATATAATTATAATAATATTATACGAGATAAAAAAAACATATTTTATTATAATTTATATTTTATATGCAGGTTTCTTTGCTGTGTACTTCTTTCGAGCTAGAATTTAGGTTTCCTTTAAACGCTTCATTACTGTACACCTAATTTGCTCACCCGTGGGTTATATTTCGTAAATAAATCTGTCCGATTCCTGCATACGTATTTCTGATTATGGCGCTGTGACAATGGTTCACGCAATATCTGCTTCTGTTTTCTTGAATTCTAAGTTAATTTTCGAATTCCATAGTAATGATAAAATATGAACTACATTCTGTAGGATGGAGTATAACGGCTAGAACTAACGCTTAGCCTCTTTTTTTATTCTATTAAAATAATCTTGTTCAGTTTAAGTTCAAGTCTTAACTTCTTCTTTATTTAAAAATAAAATTAGTACGAGATTCGTCCATCATGCAGTTATCTTTCTCTAAATAGATACTGAGCTTCAAAATCTTTCTGTGTATGGCTATCAATGCGTTCAAGCCACCTTTTTCTTTCTAAAAACTAACACACCCACTAAATAACGGAAGTGAATGGTCGTTGTCAAGAAAAAGCAATTAAATTGCCATTAACCGCAGGTGTGGTCAAAATTAGGTATTTCAGGATATTAAGGAGACAGCTTACAGGTCATTGTTGCAGATCGAAATCCTTTGATCTGGATCATATTCGACTGCACCGAGTTTTCAAAACAACTGTCTAACTAAATATTTCTTGAATGATTGCTTATAGATCCACTGTTTAAGTTAAAGAAAAAGATTGAATAAAATACACTTTTTATGACAGATGTGGTAGCATGACATCTTTTTGTAAAAATACACAAAACTGCAATTTTTATATGAGCTCCACAGTTGAAAGTTTCAAAGTAAAGAGCGTTTTTATAGTCGAATTAGGAAATCAAAATAAAACATTATCATCTTACTACTAATATTATTTGATATATCATTAATTAAATCTTTCAACGGGTAACTATAGATGATATATATAGTAAATTGTGCTGAGTACAGCTGCACATGAAATTGGAAACTTTCTAATGCAGATTTCTAGGAGACAAAAAATGACATAACTGTGGCTTCTAAATTCCATTTGTCCAGCAAGTTTTCAAATGTTTTATCTACAAAGCTATTTTTATAGGCTAAAATCGGCTTTTCCTTTTGAAGTTGGTTCAAGTCACATAGGTTTTCTTAATTTTTTCCCCAGCCGATGTTATATAATAAAAAACGAATTTTTAAAAAAGAACTGCAATCCGCTATTTCAGATTGCAACTTAACTATTTAAAAGCCGACATAAATTCGTTTTCTGAACTACTGTATGAAATTGTGGTCAAAATATTTAAATTGTTATTTTCAATAACAAAAAATATTTACTCATATGTACATGCGATACATAAATTTAACAAAAAATTAAATTCAGTGTTATGTTGGGTGGGCTGCTGAGTATTAAATTGATGATGGCCAACTGATATTCCCCAGCTGAGTTGGTTTTTATTATTAATGACTGGTTTTGCAAATTTGAATCTATTTTGATTCTACTAATTACCTTATGAATATTTTCACATAGAAATCATTTGGTATTAATACCAGCATAATCTTGAACTAACTAATATTTATTATTCCAGGACACATTCCTAAATAATTGCTAAGCCTAACATTTTGCAACCTGCGGCCTCAAAATGGAATTAATTTTAGCCTTCGTAGGTACAAAAGATGGCCGCCACTATACAAAATGATTTTTAATCAGTTGAAAGAGCTCCTACTTAAGACATCAGAAACGTTTTTACTAGATATTACCGCAAGTTTGTTATCAACAGTTCCTTTTTTTTTTTTTTTTTTTTTGACAAGACGGAATTTTTATCATGTAGTAAAAAATTACCACAAAGTCGTCATGAAATAAATATAGTGAAAATAGTGACTCTGTTTTCAGGAGTTGAAAAGCTTTTAAAACGGTAAGGCGCAGCTTACTAATTAGAACTTTATTACGTAAAACTTTAAATTTTGTACGATTTTATTAAACATGTCATTAAGGTTGTTATAATCTGACAGCGTATTTTATTTGATTTATCTCTTCGAAGTTTCAAAGAGCCCAGGCCACCACTTTAAGAAGTATAAAGCATTAAGGAACCCTGCAACATTAAAGATGTTCTAAGGAAATATGTAATACACCATACATTGCTTCAAAAATATCCTGCAGAACCCACAGGTATGTAACAAAAATACGAGCCATTTTTCCTTAGAAAGCATAAAGGCGTCCCTCTCTTAGACAGATTGTCCCTCGTGTGTTATACTCAAGTGCCTTTTAAGTAAGCAGGATTGTTTGCAGTTACTTGTGTACCGCTTATTGATCTAGTCTATAATTCAAAGTTGTTGTGATCATGTATGTTAGTGATTGTTCATTAGGTATTACATGTGTTTACATAAAAGCAAACTGTTGCTGCACAACTAGATCTGCATGTCACATATAGATTGCAATTCCTTACAGTTCTGAATATGGTACTTTAATTCTGTATACGTGGTTGTTCTAAATATCTTATCATTCTGATTATTTCTTCGTTACACTTCATCTGCTCTATACATTTGATGGTGCAGGGCCAATACTCATCTTTGAACAAGAGAATGCGAGATCGCATATTGCTAACATTGTGATACGTTTCCTCAATGCAGGCGGCTTATAATACTGCCTTCGTCGGCATGGTTTTTGGATCTCTCCCGAACTGAAAACGTCTGGTTAATGATTGCGGAAATCTGGCATAATAACATTCGCCAGCCAAATACAACAGATGAACTCTGGCATGGAATTGAAGCTTCGTGGAATTCACTAACTGTAATTATTGTAAAAAGCCTGTCTAATTCCATGCCTGTACAAAAATTGCTATGATGTCAGAAGCGGACTGATTTCTGTACGTGCCGTATTTCAAAATTGCCTGAACTTTTAAAGATTCCATCGTTATAAATGCATTTATAAAACAAATATGATTCTTCTCATTGCTTTCCTTCATGGTACAGACATTTTACTGGCTAGTAGTGTAATTATCAAGATGCTTCATAAGTGGAAAAAATTTACTTTCGAAGTCTCAACTTTATTATGGGAACGGATTGACAAAATGAACCATTAGATACTACTCTTATACTCATCTGCGTTAATTTACTTTGGCAATTATTTAAAAAACTATTACATGTATTTACATTATTTTAAAAATGTAATTAATATTCGCACAATCTTGCTTTTATTCCAAACATAAGATTAATTATTTGATTTGTTTGAGCTAAGCCCGCGTGGGCTATCTGCCAAAAGGAGGAAATACCTGTAGAGACATTAGGATTTTTTGGAAGCAGGTAAGTTGAAAAATTAGCACCGCCTTCGCCGGGAATCGAACCACTGACCTCTGGAATACTGGCCCAGCGTGCAGAACCACTACATCACAAAGGCACGCTGCTACGAAAGTGGGAGAAATACCTTATATGCCTTCGTGGAGAAGATTCTAATTGAAACAGGCCCGTATCCAAGCTACACATTGGAAGAAACGTTCATGCAGCCAGCCCGTTCGCCTGGAATCGAAAGCAAGTCGAAGTATCAGAGTTCAGCGACTTAAGCGCTCGGCCGCTGGTAATCTTCCGAGCGTCATAAAAAGTACTGCAAATGCAATAAATAGTACCCGCTTGATGCTGCTTTGAATAATGTGATTTTTACGGATCCTTAAAAACTCTCTAAATTTGTTATAATTCTTTATTTATAACGCTATTACCCTCGGACACCAAAATGGCACTAAATTTGAGAAAAGTAATTATTGTCGAATTGATTGAATATTATCAACTTCCGGTAAATAGTATCTATTTTAAATTAACGAATGATTTCGTTGGTTTAACGCGTAAAGAATTTCCAGCTATCAAATTGGATCGTAGTTTTTATTTGATGCTTCACGTCAATATTATATGAAGAAATCTTATCATGGTGAGTAAAGGTATAAGTATTTCTTTGCATACGGTTGTTTTTCCAGGCGTATCATAGAATGTCATTTAGCAAATAACCATGAGTCTTTCTGTTTGACACAACAGAAATCGTAAAACTGTCACGCTCTCTCATGAAAATTTCTAACTTGACATAACGCGGACATTTGCTACGTCATAAACTTTACTCAAAGGCCATATAGTTTGTCGCTGATCATTCCTCGCAAAGAATTTACGAATAACATTCCGTTTGGGAATGGAAAAGAAATTTTTATTCTCAGTATAGTGAGAAGCAAATATTGAACTGGATGGACGCAAATCTTTTCCCTTCTTGTGAGTTTTGGCCTACCTTCCAAACATATAGAATTTTTGTTCCAGATTTAAATTGTTTCTATAACTACCGAAAGAAAAAGCTTAAAAAATCGTAAGATAGGATTTTATTGTTTATCAATCGGTAGTAAAATGCTGCAGAAACAAGTTACAAATACATTACAATAATTATGAAAAAGCTGGTCTGAGCAAATGGTACAGATGGGGTAGATCAGTCACGTATAAAGTCTGCAGAGGTGCTTTAAACGGAAATTTTAACTTCTGAAATTGTCTGAAAGCCATTTAATAAATGAAAGCAATAAATAAACTGATCATTAAAATGTATGTTTTTTCAGTTTCATGGAAATGTTTTATTATATCATATTTTAACAACAGCACGAAATCCACCTATGAATTTATTATACTTTGATATTTTTACCTGTATATTCTTATGTTCTTGTTAGTATCAAAAAACAAAATGAAATTAACAAATAACCTCACTTTATAATAAACAACAAATAACTTTAATATGTCTGCATTTCCTTAAAATTTTATTCAGATATAGCAGCATCTTCGCCGTTCATGTCTTTCTTACGGTCTTTTTGACTTTTTAATTAAAACCCTTAATTCATTATTACAAACTGTTAGAGGAAAAAATTTGCTGCAGAAGCCAGAATTCAGATCCGATACGTAGATCCTCCGATTTCAGTGTATGAAAAAAAGAGACGCAGTTGCTGCTCGTGCGAATTTTTCGGTGCAATGGATTGGCTTATGCCTACATAATGTGCAACAGCTTACCCTATATATAATGTGTAAAATTAGTAGTGCATTAAATATGTAATAATTTGAAGTTTTTTTTTAGTTTGTGTAATAAGATTTATTTGTAAATATTTTGAGGTAATCTTAGACTATTTTTTATGTGTTTTTAGATGCTGGGCTTTACCTGCTGGTGTTTATGAATGGATTATTAATGGACCGAATTTGCTCAGCTTGCTAGTATGTACATGTCTTTGGAAATGTAGAGTAATATTCTGTTATCTATTTACGTTGTTTTATATATATCCTGTGTGATTGATTCTTCACTCTCTAATCTGAGCACTTCTTGATTTATGATTTTTTTCACTGTAAGACAGTTTCATACATAAGATGCTGCAGAAACAAGTTACAAATACATTACAATAATTATGAAACAATTATTACAAAATTCTCGCCTCTGAAAGTGTATTGAAGAGTATGGGTAGGGAGAAATGAACTTGTATTTAAAAGGGTCAACCATATATCAATTTAATGTAATGAAGAAAATCTACATGAAAGATAATTAAGTATTCTAAATACAGTATTTTTAAGATAAATTAAGTAAAATTATTTTCTCCTGAATGTAATGGTAAAAGGAATAAAAGGTAAATTTAGGATAATTAAAGGTACCTAACTACTTAATTAACTATATGTTTGTGACTGCTCACCTTCAGAAATTAGCTTTACGTGTTGGCGAGTCATCATTTTTCCTTAATTCTTATTAAGGACACAAAAGAATTCAAAAAGTTAACATAAAACTTTATTTTTCACAACTTGTGGAAGGTAACTTAAAATAATACTTTCTGGATTGCAGGTTTCCCAGAGCTGTGTTTGGAGAAGGGGCAAGTAAACGAAAATAATAAAAAAAGTATTCGCTTTTGTGGCGTAGTCACTCTCAGTTATTTACGCCTTCTGGAACTTTACGGCAGAGGTCTCTTTCTGGTGGCCCGAAGCAATTGTTTGAGCCTCAAATACATTTCAGTCATGCATATCATTAGAGATAAATTTGCCGCCCAAATGGTATAGTAGTTAGCGTCGCTAACTGCCGTTAACGGCCCGTGTTCGAATTCCGGAGAAGGCATGGATGTTTGTAAATGTACAGTGTCGGTGCGGCCTGCCGACACTCTAAATATGCGGCGAGCCGAAAGTCCTCTCGTGTGGTTTGGCGGAAGAGGAAGGGGGTGAGAGACCCTTGGAGCCGTCCCATCTAGGAGTGCTCTCCATAAAAATTGGGGGCAAAACTAAGCCAAATCGTACTGTCACCTGTTAGTTGCTCAAGGCTGTGTCCAACTACAGGCGTAATCTTCCGCTCCTTGCCACGAGGAATTTCGTGGGATTGTGCTGACTATGTCAGACAAGTGAGCATAAGTAACAACAACAGAGACGAACATACTTGACAGATATGGCAGTCTTGTCGGCTGTCTCTAGGGCAGCAAAAGGTGTTTTTTTTTTTTTTTTTTTTTTTTTTTACATTTTTACACTTACACTTTTTCGGCTTTAAGTTCCCATCCACTGGAAAACTGAGCCCTCAATTTCGGAATCTTTAGAGAGGATAAATAAATGAATAAATAGAGTTTAAGAAAATAAATAAATAACGTAAAACGTTAAAATATAGCTGGCAAATATCACAAAAGAATTAGATTCCAGGTATTAAAAACTTAATATATAATATTTATCTGTATTTATCCATCATTCGTCCCTTGCTTCTGAATCAGTATCAAAATTCGTTTGTTCAACAAACTGTCCATCCATTGGAAGAACATTTTTAATACAATTTAGTTTACTAATAATATAATATCTGCGTATCAGTATTTATACACCGCTTGCTTTTGAATCGATATCAAATTCGGAGTTCGGTGGATTACCTTTAGATTGGACGTTAGACTAACCGTTAATCTTATTACCAGCATCATAATCTACGGTCTTCTCGCGCTGGCTTCTATCTTGCTAACATGTAGTCCGTCATACGTCTTTCTTTTCAACTAACATTGTTGTTGTATATATTCGAAATAACGCTTGATAAAGAGCTCGCTTAATTTAATTAAGGGGACGGTGGACTTATTAAAAATTAGTTTTTCAAGTTTTTGTGTTTTCAACAAGAAATTTTATACATATACATATTATAACATCATTTTATAAAATATATGTTCAAAATTTCAATTTATTTTAAATTAAAATTTTTTAAAACAAATAATTAATTATTTTAATTAGAGATTTAAAATGCTCCTTGCGCACTAATTTTCTATATGTTTTCCTAATTTTGCCTTTTAGTTAGTTATAAAGACTTGACAAAAGCTTTAGTGTATTCTTTATTTAATATGATGAATCAGAAATTTTTAAAAGGGATTTTTGTGAACTTAAACCCAGTTTTCGGAAAAATGTCACCATTTGTTAAACATTACTACAAGCTTCTTAATAACCTCATATCCAAAAATGCATACATAGATGTACTGTAACATACTGTAACATATAACAAGATAGTTTTTTCCAAATATCATTCATTTTTAACTAAAAATGAGACGCATGGAGTATTTTCAAGACATACGAACTGCGAAAAAATTTGTTTGAGAAAACCGAATTTAAAAGTTTTTCTTCAAACTTACCTTTAATACATGGTTATGAAAAACAGCAAATTAACTTTAAATATGAATATGTAAACACTAGATAACATTTTCATATCATTTAACTAATTTTAATCTCATAATATTAAATATGAAAAAAATAAACATATCGCAAATTGGTATGTGATTCGAAGTTATAGGTAGAAAAAATTTATGAATTATATCCAGTGACACTTTTAAGATTCACCCGCATAATATGTTTTACCATCATTTGTTACATTTACAGTATCTTTTAATGTTTTACAATATTTTTTACTATTTCTGTTTTCTTTTTTACCAAGCAGGTAAACTTCTCTTTTTGCTTTGATTCAATCGACGTTAATCACGCTTTTTTGCAACGAGTAGGGACAACGAGTTTATTTCCTCCTGTTCTACGCGTATAGCATTCTACAAAATTTAAAGGGCAAAGTTTGCGTTGCTTACACATTTTAAATACTTGTAACTTCTTTAAAAATTGTAATATTTGAACTCGGTTTTTTGCATACGATGTAGTTACGTATATGGAATATAACGAGAGTAAAAAAAAATATATATAATATATATATATATTGGTTAATTTTCAGCTATTTTAAAGCCCACCGTTCCCTTAAATATGTATGTATTTAAATAATGTTAGCCCAAAAATAAAGAATTGTATCAACATGTCATAATTGCATCTTCGTCTTTATGCGCCAACTCCCGCATCCTGTAATTGTGGTTCCTTTCTCGGATGTTGGAGGATATTTAGAGGATCTCATGCTTATCTCCAAGTGAAAGTGTGTTAGAAGTCAACGATTAGGCTGAACTGTGATTCATTTTTGAAGAGAGCGAGCTTTCACTAATGCTTGGTCAATATTCTGTGCACCATGCTATACGGATTCTCTTGAACGATGACAGTAGGTCTTATTCAAACAGATCTCTCTCACATACCTTCTGGAAACAAAAACCCTTGACATTCATCTTCTATGACCGCATAGAGATAACTAGATTTCTGAAAAGCTATTTCCTTATTGTTACGCCTCGTTGAAACTGACAAAAATCCATCTTTATGGTTTATCGACCTTATCCACGCCTTTATTTTCTACATTACGGTGTTCTTAAACTGTTTCCCTAGGTTGCACGCGAAACTAGGCACTACAGTCAAGTCTCCAGCAATCTGCATCTGAGACTGTTCTGCTTCCAGTTCCTCGACGATTATCTGCCCCCTTTCCTTCATCCGAAGGTTGGTGGATGAGGGACTGGTTCAAAAGCAGAGACTGCTCCTTTTAACTGTCCACTTTTGAACCACGTCAAATATTTCACAAAAAAGGGGGGGAAGGAAAAGAAACCATGAAGGTCGCCAAGAAAAGTGAACGAATGTGCAGAAAATGTTATCTGCACTTTTAACGACCTTCCTCTAAATACTCCGCTTATACTATACACTTGTGTACTCTTACATATGCGAAACGAAAGATTTGCTTTCTGTTTGGAAACACAATTTATACCTTTTGTTAAGTATTTTTTGAAAAAGTCGCCAAAATACTCCAATTGTCTTAATTTGAAACACTAGTATACTACATAGCTGTTTTTAATTCGCCACCTAAAGGATCATCTATCGAAAGAATCATTCTCTTCAAAAATCGTTTTTCATCATCTGTATGATTTTGATCATTTGCCATCCTGATCTGTTATAGTCGTTAGCGATGCTGGCTGCCTTATCGTTGGTACCGGGTTCAAACCCTGGATGTTTATAAATGTATATTGGCTGAGCGTCACATAAACACCTAAAATATTGGCAAGCCAGAAGTTTTGTCGAGTGGTTTGGTGGCAGGATCAGAAGGGTGGAAAACCTTTGGATCTGTTTCTCGTGATGTTCTCCATCAAAACTAAGGCAGAGTTGCTCAGTTACAGCCATGGGATTATACCTGTATGATCAATGGTAAAATTCTGGTGTCTCACCCACTTCTTCCTGTACCTATATTCTTAAGTACATATTTTGCGTATATCTTCATTTCCAGTGTCATTCTCAGTGTTATAGCTTGTCGTTAAGAACATACTTCATCGTAAGTGTTTCAAGAGTGACGAATTCAATTCTGCTGTTAGACTGTAGGTCATTTATGCGCAAGAAAGGTGCGTTGCTATATTAGAGACTTATTATTATGTGCTACATAGCATCACAAAAACAAGCTTTTATTACATTAATTAGTTGTCCCAGATCTGGCGAATTATAAAGAAAAAAAGTCGTAAGAAACTCGCTAGAAAAGCCTCATCTTTTCATGAAAACATAATCCGCACCTAAGTTTTGAGCTTCGAAGATTATTCTAACAATAAGGGTTTTAATTTTCTATTATTTTTCAGACCAAATTCAGGAAAAAAGCAAGTATAGTATAGTCAAATTCAGAAAAAACGCCTACTTCAGCAAAGCGCTATAAAGTCTAGTTCACAATGCAAATTAAATTTAAGTGAAGATTTGTGATGACTATTATCATTTAGCCTTGACAGACAATTATAACTGCAAAGTTAATTTATAACAGCATTAGAAATACACCTAAGAATATACTGCTTTTTCTCTTCAGTAACAATCTTTACAGTCGAAACTGAAATTACTCCAAACCCGTTATGCAACTCCTCATACTTTGGAAGTCATACTGCGAATATCGACTATCTTATCTTCAGAATGTTTCAAATTACTACTTTTAAATATTTAAATATTTTACTTTTGTTATAATATTTAATTGTCAAATCTTTTTTTGTCATCTATTTTGAATCTAATTTAACAACAAGTCTTCTTGTAGTCTGTAAGTATTAATTTGTTATGAATGTTTCGCTTAACATGTGATTCATTTTTGTAGCTTCCACTTATATTCTAAATTTCAACGAGATATATTTAAAAAAGTAATTATTTTAAAAATCTTTACTCATAGGTCAATCTATTCTTCCTCTGCCACATAATCTGTATTCTTGTCACGAAACTACGTGCTACTCATGCGAATGAACCAAGTCAATACAGGTATGTCAAAATAGTACCTGTGCTAATACTATTATTTCCACGTAAATTTGTCAGAAAAACTTTTTTGTTATTTTGAAAATTAGCATTAAATTCCACCAGTGTGTGCTTTCCTATTAATTAGCACTTCCATAGAAAGGTGCTAGATCAATCTGCCAAATTTGTATGGGAACCAATGATTTTATTAATTTCCCTAAATGATTTTAAAAATTAATTGCGGTTTAAATGCGCTTAAAAAATAATATGAATATAAAAAAATTCTTTAAACATATTTTTTCCAACATGCTACCTTCATTAACTTTTAACCACATTATATCTTATGAGTGTATTACTTGTATTAAAGCACTAACCTTCATAATCAAATGTATATATGATGCACTTCATTTAAGTTTTTCAAATTTATATATTTCATCGTTCCAAACTCTTTAACTCTTTATTTAACTCTTTGTAAAACTTATGTATTTACTTCATGCATTCAGCTGTTTCTCGCAAGCTACCCGCTTTGCTAATTAAAAGAAAATCGTTCAATTATTGATTATTGAAAGCCTTCAAAGCAACATTGGGGATTTTTCCCGGTTTTCATTGAAACCTGAGTGGTGTTACTAATAGGAAAATGTAACCTATTGTTTAACTTTTTACTGATAATTCCTCTGTGAAAAAATCATTTCCACCATACAGAATATGTTAGATCGATCATCTTTAACGAAGTTTACCATCATACCATCCAGTTACCATATATAACTTCAAAAATTAAATACAAAAGAACTTCTCACCGACAAAAGTGCATAGCAATGATTCGGAGTAATGTTGGAATCCAATCTTGCACGTAACTACTTCTAAAAACTGTACAAATATTTACAGGATGATTCAAAAATATAGCTACACATTTGATCGCATAGTGTGATGATTATTATGACTACAGTAAAGATCGTATCACACAGTTTAAAGCATTACGAAAGAACAGCTCTATAGAGCAATTTTTCCGCTTTGTCACACAATTTGAAACGGCCAATCACTGCGGATCGTTTTGGGACTTTGTAAAGGGGAAACTACTTTACCAATACAAATTATGGTTGATGATGAGGGATTCGATGCTGATAGCTCATTGGTTGTTGAAAATGCACAGTTTTTTTGCGAAAGAAAGGAAAAAATCGTGCTCCTTTCTTTCAGCAACGCAAGTAGAAAAATTGTCTGAAACAGTTGTTCGTCTGAAATAAAAAACGGATGTATGATACCAGCCTTATAGATTTAGAGCCAGTTCATCAAATTTAAAAACAATGCACAATACCAGCAGACTAGTGCTTTTTCCGAATCCTTCCACAATTATTATTCATGTTGCTTCATCTGTTAACTGCGAATCACTCTAGAACAGTGTTTCTTAACCTTTTTGGCACAATGAACCACTTTAAAAATTTTAAATATGTCACGGACCCCTCTGCGAAAAATAATTGCTTAAACATAATTTATTACAAAATATATTCTGTTTTATTATTTAATTATTTTTAATATTTTTATTTCAATAGTATAAAAAATTTGAAGAAATTAAAATTTTAAATGTGGAAGGCTGTTGCTGTTTCCTTGATTAACAGATTGAATTTGAGGGATGGTTTTCGACAAAGCAACGCGCATATCATGTTCGACATTCAGTCTATTTCGATGTTTTGTTCATAACGTTGCGCGCCTCCAACTTGCACGCAACCAAGAGGTGACTGTGAAAACTTGTATAAAAGATAGGGCCTTGTGAAGGGTTTAAGTCCCTTTTTATTCAACGTAATAAATTACAATTGCGTCCTCTTGACGCTTACAGACTGTGCCAACTTGGCAGTCAAATAAAAATAATAACCTGAAAAGAAAGTAAAGACAAGATTCTAACTACGAGGCTCTCTAAAATAACTAACTCACCGCGTTTTACAATACCGCTGCTAATTCAGCAGACTTGAAGCTCACTGGAACAATTACCACTACTTCCCGCCAAGCACATAGGCCGCAACGCGGGTTCTTCAATTCTCGCTAACTACCTCCGCGCTCGCTAAGTAAGAATATCTCACCGAACTCGTTTCCTTCTATTTAAATCAGAATACTTCCGCTGATAATTTGAATCCTTGCGCGTTCTACTCAAATTTACATATTCTGGCATTGGCAGTTCCAGGGGAAAGTAAGGCTTGACAGGAAAGATAGTTTAAACTTAAAATAAATGTTAGTTAAAATAAATATAAACCCTACATTTGCCGCTGCCAGAATTTGGAAAACTTGGAAGCAGGTCCTACAAACGACCTGTTGTAAGTTTCTCTAATTCTGAACTAACTGGCGAGAACCTCGTTTACACACAAAAAAAAAAAAAAAAATCTTATGTAACAATTATACTAAAATTCTGTTGCTCGTTTACAATTTTCTTCTTACAGCAACTTTTCCTGGACTTCATCAATCAATCTTGGTCTTTCCTTCCAGCATCTGGAAGGAATAAGTATCAGTATCTTTCTACATACATTATAATTTACACTTTCTTGACACAATAAATTTTTTGTTTTTAAACGATTCGTTTTTTCCTTAGTTATTGCTTAACTTCACATTCATTCAATTTTTCAAAGCATTAATTTAACTTTACCCTGGCTCTCCACCATGTGTGGTGTCAAACGGGAATATTCGTGTTTTAGTCTTACAACACTTCCCCTAACCACCATGATTTGTTAGAATTCAACGACCAAATAGACACACCTTACTCGACATTCTACAACTCAATGAGCTACTTTAATATTCTTAAAAATTCAAATGTAGGTGGAGAACCCTACAAAACACATTCATTCTAACTTCCCCCTCATTCATCTTTAAACATGCAGGCTTTCGCTCTAAAGCATGACTTTATCTACAATTTAATACTTAAATTTTGACTTCATTGCTTTTAAGCATTCACTTTTAGCATCTACAATTTTATGCTTCTAGACTAAATTCTACTTTTACATAACCTTCAAGTATTTACATACATTTACAAAATTTTAATACATATGCTTTTTACAATTTACCATAAAATGAATAAGAGAAAATAAATTTTTACTTTACTCATTCTTCGCCAAGCTGGCGGCACTGAAAGTAAAATTCTTATTAATACAAGAATACGAAGTTATTTTTATCTTCGGCCAAATTTTGGCTTTAACATAACAGAATTAGTCTTTCGACCAACAGAAAATGCTTGTTTTTAGCTTTTACACTTAAAGAAAATAATACTTTTGCCTTAGCTAAATAAAGTAAAACAAAACTAAGTCTCAACCGAGACATATTGACTTTCGTCAAAACATAGAACTTCGTACTTATGCATAACATTTCGGAACAAAAGAGAAAAAAAATTATAGAAGGTTTTAACTTATCTTTGAGTTTTCGATGCTTGAAACTCCGTCATCCGTTTTTGGCAAAATTGATCCCAAGTTAGAGGTTTCATGGATGTCAATCTTCTCCTTATTGATCTCCGAGTGTCGTCCACGTTGCTTTTTCTTTTTGCGTCCTCTACATGCTGGCCTCTTGACGGAGTAATCGTCTGGTTGTTGGCCTTTGCGTTTTTCTGCCTGGGACGGCTGGTCTTGACGTCCTCCGGTCTGGAGTCCTTCTTGAATTTCTTCTGTTCCTCGTATTTTTGTGCCTCCTGCTGGCGTTTCAGTTTCCGGAACGGCGGCCTTGCTGGCACCTGACTCTGTGGCCGTGTGCGCGTTCTCCTTGATGTGTAATTTCTCCTGCTATCCTTTGTAGGTGGTGTTTTTCTCTTTACCCGGTTCATCTGTATTTTTGTTTTTCTTAAACGCCGGAGTTTGAAAATCATTTTTTCTTTTTGATACCGACGTCCGGGTTGTAGAAGTGCTAGGTCTCTCTTCAGTTCTCTGTTTTTCTTGGGTGGTGGAATAGTTGTTGTAGTCTCTGGATCTTCTATTTCGTTTAGACTTGAGTCCTGCAAGAAACTTTTAAGGATTTCAAAATCATTTGGATTATAGTATTTTTTCACCTGGTCGGGACTTGCTTTACAGATTTCCCCTCTGTCGTTCTTAAGATATAAGACTACCCCTTTGATTTCCTGAATTACATAGGGGCCTTCAAACTTTGGAGCTAGCTTTGCCATAAAATTGTCTGGGGCACTTGATAAAGAAAATTTCCGCTTCAATACTTTATCCCCAACTTTAAAATCTGCTTCACGGCGTTTTCTATCATAGTAAGTTTCTGCCTATTTCTTTCTTGCCGTATCCGAGGTTTTAAGCGCCTGATCAATTAAGCTTTTGCACATCCTTTTGTTTAAACTCTGCTCTCTTTGTTGCACAAAGAATAATTTATCTAAAGGCGTAATTAACTTTCTGCCTAAAAATAATTCTGCTGGAGTTTTTCCCGTAGTATCATGATTGTGCCGTTCTTAAAGCATAAGCTAATTCATTTATGTAGCCATCCCAGCGCTTGTGATGTGTGCTAACGTAACTGCGAATTATTTTTACAATGTTTTTATTAACTCTTTCTGCTATGTTTAGCCTGTGGTCTATACGGAACCATTTTGATATGGCGTATGCCAAGTCCATTGCATATGTTTTCAAATATTTGACTAATGAATTGTTTTCCGTTATCGCTAATGACTTTTATCGGTGCACCGTATTTTAAAATGTATCTGTGTAAGAATGCATCTGCGACTGTTTTGGCTGACGCGCGTTTAAGTGGAACAATTTCTATCCATTTTGAAAAATGATCTACTATTACTAAAAGAAAACGATTTTTATTTAACTCGCTCTGGGGAAGGGACCAAGGAGAATCTATGTGCCTGTAATTAATATCATTTATTAACTGACATTGATTGCAGGACCTGACATACGCCGTTACTATTTTGTATAATTGCGGGAATATATCCTTTTTAAAGTCTTTCTGACCCCTAAGGTGGCCCGCTGTTTTTTTTTTCGTGCAACTTCCTTCAAAATGCTTAATCGAAGCGAGGCTGGGATGACTGGCTTTATACTCAAGATTTTCGTTTGTTGTTTTCGTAT